AGACACGAATTTTAGGCCCAAATCAAGACAGAAAGGAAATTAAGAGTACTTGAAAAGGTAATTTATCCTTTAAGCTGGGCATATAAACAATAATTTTTGAAGCTGAATCCAATAGTAGAAACGCTAGTTTCACGTTTCAATGTGGTCATACGAGCTTGGTGTATCTCTGCTGTATTTACCTCACATGGGGTGTCTGTGAATGCAAAGTGATTTTTTTATTAATGGTTTAGTGTGGCTCTGGAGGTGTCACTGCGCCACCTTTGGTGCTGTGTAAACTTCTGTGTATTCAACTGTTTTCTAAGCCGTTTATGAAAAGACAACCATGCTCTACTTTCTGTGGACTAGGCCTTAGTCTTCAGTTGTGCAAAGCAGGTTGAGACAAACATCAAAAGAACTTGCAGCTGCAATTGATGATGTAATAAAATACCTTGTATTGTTTAATAGAGAAGGTATTAAAAACTAGCACCGTTCCTTCTTAACATTTCCTATTTGTGTTAATCTATCAGATTAAACCTCAATCAAGCAATATCAAAGTTTGACATAAATCACCAAGATGGGTTTAGTTAGAAAACCTTACCTCCTGACACTGGAGCATCCATGAAGACAGCTCCCATCTTCTCTGATGCCACAGCCATTTCTTTAGCAACAGACGGGTCAATTGTTGAAGAGTCGACCAGTAACGTTCCCTTTTTCACCTTCCTGAGCAAAGTTAGAAGAGACACATAAATGACGGGTCCAGCTTTTCTATATTCTTCCTCAGATCAACATCAAACAAATATCTGCCTACTTCAGGATGCCGTTAGGGCCCGTATAAACCTCTATGACATTTGGACTAGATGGCAGCATGGTGATGATTCGGTCTGCTTTCTCTGCCACCTCTGCAGGGGAGTCCATCACCTAAGTGTCAGATTCACCATCATCATCATCATCATCATCATCATCATCATCATCATCATCATCATCATCATCATCATCATCATCATCATAAATGGAAAATGAACAGAAACTAAAATTGCTGCATGAAAAAAATATTAATTTTCTTATGACATCTAACCTGGGCGCCCAATTCTTGAAGCTCTTTGCAAGATTCTGGGAAGACGTCAGTGGCGATGACAGGATAGCCATTTTTGATCAAGTTCTTGGCCATGGGACTGCCCATATTTCCCAGACCAATAAAGCCCACAGGTGTCTTTGATGCCATTGATCTTCTTGATACTAAAGCGAAAAAAAAGTTTGATAGATAAATTACACCTATATAATATAAGTGTGAAGCTGTGCCATTTGTTTCCATTATCCTGAGGGATCTCTCTAACAAAAACAGTTGCAGAAAAAGCACCAAACAACAACAAGGTTTTCCATCAAATATGCAACAATTAATTCAACTCTGCAGCAAATCAGTGTGCTTTAAATGTCATCAGGCGTTTCTCCATTAGAGTTTTAGTAAAAATTCCCCAGATGAGAATGGAAACTGGAAGTAAATGAGCCAGACAAGAGGAGGGATTAGACTTGGATAGGATACCCAAACAATGAGCTTAAGGTAAATTCAGCCAGCTTTACAACATGCTTAGAATATACTGTCACGCCATACTGTAGTTTTAAAGAGTCTGTGATCTAATTTATATCTGTCAAAACCATTTTTTCTTATGTACACCAAGTTTTGGTTGTAGTTTGTTACTGAAGTTTTAGTTTAGTGACAGACTAAATCTATGGAGAGGTACTAAGGTCATGACATCAATAAAACTAGTTTATTGGAGACTTTATCTCAGTGGATATGTTGTGTAAGCACCTTGTCTTCACCAAAAATAACTCACAGTATGTTTGATCACACTTTAGCTTTTTCTGGTGTTTTTTGTTTCCTTTTCTTTTGAGAACATGTCTTGTTTATTATTTAGGGCATTTCTTAAAAAAGTAAATAGCTATATTGTGTGTGATTGCAAGACATTCCTTAACTTCGAGTCAAACTAGAGAATATTTAGAATTTTTTTCTAATGCACTCACAGTCTTCAACCAGGCTTGGGCTGTTTGCCAGAATCAAGGTATTTTTCCCTTATGCGATCAAACTTTCGGAAATATTCTAATCAGTGATTTACAATATGAATTTTTGTGCATTTTTAATGTACTTTATATCTGTATATACACCATGTTCATTTCTCAAGACTTTGCACTTTAAACCAATGTATACATTAGGGCTGAAACAATTAATTGGATTAATCTTTTATTGAAATAATCATCAACTAATTTAGTAATTGATTAATCGTTAACTGGAGTATAGAGACTATTAAAACAGGCCTTAGCTGACAGAACAACCCACCGTGAGCAGCAATTAATGCAAAATTTTAAATAAAACATGTAAACTTTTTGCATTTAAGATAAAAACATTTTTCTTCTGTTAATATGATCTATACAGAACTCCTCAAGCGGAAAAGTTTTAGTTCCACCTGATTTAATTTCCCAAAAAGTCTTCTTTAAAGAACCTTTCGCTTATTGATTATTAATTGAATAATCGGAAAAAATAGTTGAAAGATTAGTCTATTTGCAAAATAATTGTTAGTTGCAACCATGGTCCACATGTTTACATTGCATGTATTTAATACATCCTCTCATTTCGTCTTTGCACTGATATTGGTGGCTTTTAATTCCGTAAAAATTCAAAAAAATATCCACTGGACTCAGTTTCCAAGATTTGAAGACGTTTCCAAAGCTTCCTGGAGAGGTGGCGAAACGTCTTAAAATCCTGGAAACCAAGTCCAGTGGATATTTTTTGAATTTTTACGGAATGACCATGACCTGGATGACTGAGAATCTTCATCAGCATGTGGCTTTTAATCTCACTGCATTGCATATAATAATATAGTAATTTCCCTCTGAGATTATTAAAGTATTTCTGATTCTGATAATAACAATAAAGGCATTCTGATTATCTTATATAATGGTCTTTCAAAGTCACAGAATTACATCAGCTAACAAGTTCCATCATATTACTGTGGAAAAAAATAAAATAAAAATCTTTTTATTGATATTCAAGAAAGTAAGAGCTCTGATGGCAAACATTTCTCGGGCTTTAGAGGCCATTCCTGCCTAAACCCAAGCTGTGCACTGCTAGCCAGCTAGCTGATAGACAACTACTAAACTTTTCCCTTCTTTGTGAGGTCGACAATCATAGTGTGAAACTAAACTAGCTCTACACCACCTGTCACCGTGATTTATGGAAAACCTATCCTGAAACTACAGCTGACAAAAGATAACCAGTATTTAGACTATGTGAGCAGATGGAAAGCACAAGTGACCTGCTAAAAGAACAGAAAAAATAGATATATTTATCTGTGCAAAAAGCATCCGAAAGATACTTGTTTGAGTGTTTACTCTGTTATATAAAGATGTAGGACATTGGAATTTTGGCAAAAATCCGATATGTCAATATTTTACAATTCAACTGGCCAACAACCAATACAAATATTGGTGTATAGCATTTTGGCTATTGGTTGGCAGAACTTTGAAAAAACTAATGCACCACTGCTATTTTTACAAAGGCATCTCTCCTGTGACAGACCCATGAATCATTGGAGTGCAAGTGACCTGCTGAAGCCACAGGTGTAATCCTAACTTGTTTTTATTAAAGTATTGCCTTTCATATCACTGAGTTTTACTGATGGAATGGTCAATGTTAGATATTAAACATAGTGCAAACAAAATCATGATAATATTACAGCCCTAAAAAAAAAAAAAAAAATATATATATATATATATATATATATATATATATATATATATATATATATATATATATATATATATATATGTATATATATAGCATAAATTCCTTTTATTGTTATTATATGCAATGCAATGAGATTAAAAGCACCAATATCAGTGCAAAGACTTTAAACACAAGCAATGTAAACATTTGGACATTGGTTTAATGTGCAATGTGTCTTGAGAAATAAATTTGGTGTGTGTATATATATATATATATATATATATATATATATATATATATATATATATATATACACACCATATTTCACTTGTAGGTTTGTGGTGCTTTTATTTCACAAAACACCCTATTATTAATTTATGTTGAACTAATAGTTGGACATTTAGTCATGCAATCACAGGTTTACCAAAGATTGTTTTGCACACAGTCATCCAAGCTTAAGAATATATGTGTTGTTTAAAAATCAATTCAACTCAGCTTAAGATCTTTAAAATAACGACTTAAGTTAAATACATCCACATCTTCGTATGCACACTTTTCATTATAACTCAAAATTAACTCAGGGACATTGTGTCCAAGCTGCAACATCAGCAAGGACTGTAACTCTTCATACTTTATTTCTAAGAGCTAACAAGCTAGCTAACAACCTGAGGCATGGGACATACCAATTGCATTTATCACTGTAGCATTCCTAAAGGAGGGGGAATTGCGTCACAACAGAAACCAGTACCTTACCAAAAACAAAGTAGGCATGCTTGTTCCATCGGAGCCCTGTACTTCGGAACCCTCTGAACAACGCAGCCATGCTTCCTCCCCCTCCAACCTCGGTATTTGGTGACAGCTGTCAACCCAGAAAAGCCTCAGCGAATGGTTATGACTCACTGTCAGTTGGACCAATCGGAGCATCGTATTAGTTAGTCGGACCAATCGGAGCATCGTATTAGTTATTTGGACCAATCGGAGCACCGTATTAGTTAATCGGACCAATGGGAGTAAGGTAAAGGCGGGACATCCTGTCATTTTACTTGAAAGTGCCCTTAATGTATACTTTTTCATTAGTTTGCATATAATTAATTATAAAATGGAAAAATATATATTTTTAGAAAGAAATTTTTATATATTTTTTAATTTATTTATTTTTTATTGGAGCGGACGCTAAGATAGTTGAAACCAATTATATTATACCGGGGTTCAATTCAAATCAAACGGACAAATAGCCGTTAGGTTCAATAGTTTAATATATTTAATCCACGTTTTTTGTTAAGCTAATAATATGCTCGAAATGTTAATACGTGGGGGTTCTGTTTCCCCCGGTCCTTCCAGCATCACTGGTGCAGCAGCTCAGCATCATCTCTGTCTCTCCCTCTCAGGAAGAGACGCATCACCGCCAGGGCTGCGAGTGGAGGAGAACTACCGAGATACGACGAAGAAAGTCACTGTTCCTTTACAAGCAGCAGACATTTAGTAGAGGTAACGTTTATTTCCAAACTGAACTGAATTGTGTTTGTGTGTCATGGGTGAGCGAGCTGTCGCCGCCCTAACAGGATGATGCTTCTAGCTAGCTAGTAGTGACTTGACACAACATGGCTAATGTTAGCCCCCTTTAATAGGATAAGCCTCAGCTTGCTTTAGCTAAAGTTCACTGGGCCGTAGTGTCCTCTGGCTGCACTGTGAGCTTTTCTGTCTGCAATAGAAATTTTTTTGTTATCATACTGGCAAAATATTTCTCCTGTATAATCCCGGGGTGGAGTCATGAGAGTGAAATTATAGCACAACAAAGGTGTTGAGCTGTTTATATTCACCTGTTTGTTTGATACCCTTCAGTATTATCAAAGGCTTCCCTTTATCAGGGGCGGAGCTAGATGGGGGGCCAGGGGTGGCCTTACCCAATCACTCCTGGCAGCAGTAATACTCTCAAGTGTTGTAACTTATTTAACTTTTTAATTTTCTATATGTAAACAATTACCTAACAAAAACACTGTGGTTAATTATGCGCATCAATATACTAACATTAAAGATAAATACAGAATTCATGCTCTTTTCAGAACTCGATTTTGTGTTGTATGGGGTAAAGAGAAAATCATGTGTCTGCAAGTCATCTAGGAATCTTCACTGAAATGATAGATAAATAACTACCTTAATAATAAGTAATTAATTTAATGTAAATATTAGGTAAATTTTAATTTTATGCACCAAGGTTATTAATAAAAGTACTTAAGTAATAAAAATGAATAAGATGTTCGCCCCAGAACTCAAAACTGAAAGAATTTTCTCCACCTTTAATTTAGACAGCATGGATGTTCAAATATGCGTCTATTTGTTAGCTTAAGCTGCAGGAAAGTATACTTTGTCTTTATTTAGAAAATATGGATGTTTTGCTCGTTAATGTTCCTGTTAGAACACTGTAGATTGACCCTGAGGTTCTGGCACCTATCCACTTTCGGCCAACCCTCAGTGTACATTGGTTATTGCCTGGCCAGCTTCTTTTTTTAATTTTCTGGCTACGCCTCTGCACTTTGGGCTACCTACAAGGTTTAATGGTATGTTGGAAATATTTCTATAGTTATTCACAATCTTATTCACTGAAAGTTCCGTTATTTACTTTAGTTTCCAGAGCTGCTGAATTTAATTTTGATCAGGGGGTGCTGTGAAAATATGTTTTCTTTTATCTTTTTGGAAAACAGACCTGTGAGCCTATAGGCCTATTTAAAATACACTAATAGAAATAAGTAAATAGATCGAGATTCACTACTTTATTTTCATATACACTTCTGTAACACACAGACATCATCAGTTCCTAGGTGAATATATGCGCTATTAATTAAACTTCACAATAACACCATAACAACGACTTGAGTCACTGTGTTTATGTCACACAGGACTTTATTAGCTCCAAAATCCTTTCATGCAAACCACAAGGAAATAATTATATTATTGTATTTTTTAAACCTTATTGAACAGTTCTCCACATCCATTACACAAAGAAAACAAGATCTAAATAGATCAAAGATCAAAATAACACCCTAAAATACTATAGCTACGTTAAACTACACGAATAGAAATGAAAGTGCTCGGCGGGACCATGCCCTTACTTTGAGCAACAGGCAGGGTGCCCTGGTTACACGTTAGCTTGGGTTGTGGGTGCTGGGCCTGCTGGTGCATCTGCTATCAGAGGTTGGCGGACAGTCTCCTCACTTCGGCCTCTCTCCGTCGTCCTGGCTGCAGTATCAGTGTTCTTCACTGGTGGTGGTTTTCCCAAAAAATCCAAAATACGTTTCTGTGCCATATTTCTTCATCATTTCTGTCATTAGACCATGGCCATTTCTCAATTGACAAGAACGCGAGTACGGACTTGTGTCCTCGCCAAGCATGTTCTTGAGAAGAACCCGGGAAAGTGTGGACTTGGTAAGAACGGGAGCACGCAGCATAAATATGGGTCAATTGGAACAGAAGCGTACTTGTGATCTCACCACACGCCCAGCCCGTCGAGAGCCGCATTTCACCTCCTGTTATTAATAGTCTCTAGATAATAATAAATTATTTATTTTTTCATTTAGTGGGGGAATAATGATGGACACAGTCAGATAAACACAAATCAAATGAACATTTTTCCAAATAAAACAAAAAAAGCCAGCAGTACTTCAAACACGGCTATGCCCAGAGAGGGCTGCTGCAGACGGCTGCGGCTAGCCTCGGAGGTCTGCTGGTTGCCGCGGTCCTCTCAACTTCGGAAATTAATTTAAACATTAAATCGGTAAATGGACCATATAGCGACGCTTTAAAGTATAATATTCTCGCCTCAAATGATCTTAAAACATACTTTTATTGAACAACAGCAACAGAAAAGAGAACTTTTAACTTAATACTCTGAGCTTTGTGAGTGCGCCATTGGAAGCTGCTGCAGTGCATGCTGGGACAGCTGTCAATCTCAATAACGGACAAGTCTGCTCTGATGCATGCTGGGTAAATAGGGAGGGGCGAGAACAACATCCGAGGACTTTGTCCGTTCTCGGTCTGCTGTTCTTGTGAATTGGAACAGTACTAGGCCTGAGGTTGATGACGTTCCACGAGTAGACGAGCACATAAAAACGCACAAGTACACATATTGAGAAACAGCCCCTGTCAACTTCTTGGTCTGCTGCCGTGGGTGCAATACCTCTTTACTCTGCAACCACTAGCTTGCTTGACATTGCCATGACAACGTAACTTTCCATGTACTGTTGATTGAGTGTTGATTAGGCCTCAAAATAATTAAAACCCAAATACACGTAATAGTAAAATAAAAAAGGCAAAATACTTTGCTCAAATATGTAAATTGTTCAAAGTATTTTCAATAATTTTTTTAAAACCCCAGCACCCCCACTTTCCGCCGCCATGTCTGTGTCCAACCTTTCGTCATCACAGAAGTGCGTAGAAGTACCTGTTGGTGGTGAATGTGTTTATTAACTAAAAGAGTTGGAGAAATCTGTTGTGATGCATTTAGTAAACAGGAAAAATGATCAGATTTTTTTTTTTTTTTTTTTTTACTAGATTTGATTAGAGTAGATGTATAAATATCTAAAATGTGTTATTTTGCACATCGGAAATTAAAGGATAAACAGGATGGACCCTAGAGGTCAGATTTGTTGGTGGTCAAGTCTGGTTTTTTTTTTTTTGTTTGTTTTTTTAATTATTATTTTTTTATTTATTTTTTTCTAACCCAGATCTCATAAACCAAATATGGCCACTTTCATTTAAAATCTCTAAATATATGCTGTATTTTTTAAAGTGGGGAAGAACTCAGAATCCAGGAGTGCCAAGAAGAAACTGAAGATAAGTGTTACAACTAGATAGGCCAACACTGAGTTAATTGTGGACAATGTGAGGTTAGAAAGAAAGCAGTGAAGAAACAACAAATTAAATCCATTAAAAAAAATAAAAGCAACGCATCAGTGAAGAGAGTTCAAGGACAAAGGACAGGAGGAATTAGAACAAAGCAAAGTAGAAACAGAAGAAAACTTCATCCCAACACTAAAGAAACACAATGTAATATTAGCTTATGTGATCAACTGTACCGAGCAAGCCAAGAATAAGACAAAGAAAATCAAAATCCTTGCCAGAGGAGCTAAAAAATTTTTTGCGACTCCCAATAAATTATTTTGGAAAACATTGTAATGAGGTTGGAGATGGATCGACGAACAGAAGCATCTGGTAATTAGTCCAGATGTTAATTGTACAAATCAAATATGTATAATAGTAGTAGGATAACGATTTAAAGGAGAATTCCGGTTTTTAACACTTTTAGCCCATTTTCTGTAGTGTCCAGGATGAAATCGAATGATCGACACCAAAATTTTGACAATTGGTCCTGTCTCTGCTTTTTGGCTCATTTAGAATCCACCCCTGGCTGCTTCAGCATGGCTTCCATAGTGCATGTCCGATAATGTCCTTAAAACAACCTTAAACATTCTTTTTTTTAAATATGCTACTCACCGGGTCGTCAGCGCTGTTCAATGACGTTCCAAAAAAAGTTTCGTAAAGAAAAAACGTTCCTGTAGTGTTTTATTTAGCATTTTGTAAATCCCATTGAGTTCTGTTGGAATAGTGAATATTCCCCTGCCACCGGAAACGGAAATGGGGCCTGTTTACACAGTTGTAGTCTTTTCGCTTCACTCTGTGTACTCCGACGTCGAGGTGCTAACGTCTCTGTTAAACACTTTAAAAAACTCTGAAAATGGAATACGAAAGGTGGATTCTTGATTCTCGACGTCGGAGTACACAGAGTGAAGCGAAAAGACTACAACTGTGTAAACAGGCCCCATTTCCGTTTCCGGTGGCAGCGGAATATTGACTATTCCAACAGAACTCAAAGGGATTTACAAAATGCTAAATAAAACACTACAGGAACGTTTTTTCTTTACGAAACTTTTTTTGGAACGTCATTGAACAGCGCTGACGACCCGGTGAGTAGCATATTTAAAAAAAAGAACGTTTAAGGTTGTTTTAAGGACATTATCGGACATGCTCTATGAAAGCCATTCTGAAGCAGCCAGGGGTGGATTCTAAATGAGCCAAAAAGCAGAGACAGGACCAATTGTCAAAATTTTGGTGTCGATCATTCGATTTCATCCTGGAAACTACAGAAAATGGGCTAAAAGTGTTAAAAACCGGAATTCTCCTTTAATGAATATATCACTAGATTATAAAATAAACTAGAATTGAAAGATAAAAAAGTGATATTGGGAGGATGTGATTTAAAGAAAAAAAAGATTAAAAAGATAAAAGTCTATGGAATAAATATTTTCTATAATATTAAATGAAGATATTATAGTTTTTTTATATTTAGTATATAACATATAGAAGGTAAATGTATTAAATATAATACGGTATTGTGTTCCCAAATTAATACAAGTAGGTGGCAGTTATGCACCTTTATGATGTTTATCATGTAAAGATAGTTCATGAAATTGTCTATCTTGCATTTCATTTTTAGGAGCTTTCTGCTCAAGATGTGCTTGAACGGCTGATGACGTTCCTCCAACATACATTCATTTTTCTTTAAAAGGGTCTGAATGATAATATAGGGTATTTGGTGCTGGTCCTTAAGGTCTCTGAATAGGGTGTGTAACATTAGTTGGGCTGAAAATGGCATATTTGGTGTTCCATAAGCCATAATGCAAGCCTGGTTAAGAGCCCCAGAATGAACAACAGGTTTTCTTCCTTTTATGGTATTATCATTAATATTTAGATAAGCTGTGCACTGATTGGTTGGTTCACAACGAACGAAGCTGATGAGCAAAGACGCATCATAGCAACAAGCACTCACTGAAACATCAAATTGTTGATATGGGCGGCTCATGGCTCTCTGCTGAGGTCCAATCAAGTCAGCGGCCCAGCAGTCGACACTTTGTGACTGGTGTGTGTGCCACAATATTCGAACAGTAGAGAAAGATTGTCATCAGCCTTTTTCTTCATTTTCAGTTCTGCAACACCCAGAAAAACAGATGGAAATCAGTAAAGAAATGGAATTATCATCTTTAATATTAAAATCACTATTGGTATGATTTGTTCCCTAGCCTTTCAACATCATGACATCATCGTCTTTGACCTGACTGAACCTCCTCAGAGCCACAGGGATAAACTACTGGACTGTTTTCACATGCAAGGTAATGCTTTCCATGTTTAATGTCTGATTTTGAAAAATATAGTCGAACCTCGTTAACAGTTCATGATTGGTGGTCACTTACTGCATGCTGAATTATTTACAGAACCTTGACAAAACATTCATGTCATTTAAAGCTTTTATAATTAAAATATCAGTGTATTTTAATGCTCATTTTTCATCCATTTTCAGCATTTAATTGTTCATATATTTAGCTCTGTTCATTTTCCTAAAAATGTTCCTGTTACTAATAAAGAATAGTATCCCCACAGCATGATGCTTCCACCATCATGTTTTACCTTATTGGGTTTATCATGCAGGCGCAAAAACAATTGGTTGCTTTGGGATTTATTTGATCTAAAATGAAAAATTTAATCTAAAATGGGGGTATTTTTAAGGATGTTTTTGCAAGGTGTTGCATAAAGAAAAAAAGACCCATTTCTCTGACTTTCTCTTCCAGACCCATGAAGTGACAAATAGGCCAGGATGTCATCGTTCCAGGTGGTGGACTCATCGCCTGGCTGCAGCGTCAGCATCATGGAAACATCCAACTTCGCTCATGTCATCTTCCAGAATGTGGGGAAGAGTTTCCTACCCCAGACGCCCTTGGAGTGCCACTACACTCTGACCCCTTACATTACTCCCCACCCCAAGGACTGGGTGGGCATTTTCAAGGTAGAGCTAACAGGAGATGCTTCTCTGTTGATATGAGGTAGTTTTGAATCCTAACCGTTACTCCGACACACAGAACATTGTTAGGGTCTTGTTAATTGCCCGTAGTTTTGCACTTAGCACATTAACACAAGCATCCGCGTCTGACGGTAATGACTTAGCTCGTCACTACATGTCTAAAAGGCTCCCACAAGCTTTGGTGTGGTTGTTCTGCAGGCAGAACAAGAAGAGTACACACGGTGGGCTGGTGGCACACATTTGGCTCTCTTAATCAGCCCCCCCCTCCTTTTATTTCTTTCCATCAGCCCATTTCCCTTCTCTGCTTAAACTCTTTTATCAAGGCCCTCAAATCTCACACATAATTAACAGGAAATGCAAGCCGGGAAACTTAACGTCTCGTAAAGACAGAAGACAAACGTTTTATCGTTGTTTTAAGAACTGACTTCAAATCCACCAGTTCAATTAAAAAGGAATAAAGATTCTGAGTTTATTTGGAAAGAAACTTGAGGATTGGAAAATGTAATTATGGTAATCCATGCCGGAGAGACCTGTTTGATGGTTAGAGCTCCATGTCAGAGAACAAGCAAACCATGGATCTTTGATCCTCTTTGACGTAGATGTCTGTCTTTTTATGCGTTTATTAGAGCCTCATTTGAAAAATGCTTAGCGAAGTGCGGTGCCTTGCTAACATGTTAATACCCCTTAAATTTGGTCACATGCTGACACCTTACTAAAACAACCTTTAATGTGGTAGAACAAGGCAGATGAGAAAGGATAAATAGTTAGGCAAAGTTTTGCATAAAAATATGAACCTGAAAAGTTTATGATAGGGCTGAAACAATTAATAGGATTAATTATGATTAATCAATTATTGAAATAGCCATCAACTAATTTAGTAATCGATTAATCATTAGGTGGAGTAATCAAGAAAAATAACATAATCGACAGATTGAATGATTAGCAAAATAATCATTAGTTGCAGCACAAGTTTATGATGCATTTTTCTTCAGCTCCCTGAGTCAACTCTTTCACACATCAAACTTTGAGATGTGACTCCTCTTTTATTGGGGAGTTTTTAACGGCACTAGTGGCTCGTTTTTCTGATAGGAAATAGGGTACGAGAGAGGGGGAGAGACATGCAGCAAAGGACCACAGGTTGGATTCGAACCCGAGTCGGCCTCGTTGAGGTCCAAGGCCTCCATACATGGGTCGTGCGCACTAACCACTGCGTTTAGGGTTGTTGTCCAGCTGAAACATAAACGCCAACCTAAGTCTTTCTCCTACTACCTTTTCCTGCTGTAGAAAACGTGCCCAGAGCATGAGACTCCCTCCATCATACAGGGATGGTCTCTAGAGGGATATGCTGTGTTAGTTTTACGCTGAGCACAATCAGTTCAGTTTTTATTGACCAGACCATCTTAGTCCATACATTTTTTGTTGTTGTTTGTTACTCTTTCAAGATGGCCATCTTTGTGGAGTGTATGTCTTAAGGCCAATTTATGCTTCTGTGACGCATAGCCTCAGCGACCGTCAAATCTGTCTCTGTACGCAACCACGCCCCCTGCAAACGTTGTTGTGCACCTCAAAAAAATCCTGACTACGTGTCAGACGGTCGCAAACCTGCATAGAACTCAAGTGGAAGTGCGCAGACAAAGAGCAGCTGTGACATGTCCTTGGTGTGCCTTTCCGGCTGTCTGTGTGGTCGTCCTTCTCGATTCGGTGCCGGGGCGCGGCATTTTTAAAAACCGAAGAACAATGGACAACTAAGACGAAGGTTAATCGAGGAGGTTCGGAAGTACAACCACTTGTACGATGCCTCAGACAAATTATATAAATAAATATATCTGTGATATCTTGCAGACGCGCCATTGTTGTTTTGGAAGATAAACACTCCCGCCGGCGCCGCCGAAGTTCTCATGACCATCCGCTGAAGTTCTTGCGAGTTCTCGAATAGGCTCCCCCTTACGCTTTGGCGGGAAACTGCTGTGCGTCCCTAGAAATTCCAGACCAAAGGTGCAGAAGCAAACCAGCAAAACTGGTTCGCGACCAGACCCAAGTAACATTTGATATCTGCGTTTGCAGAAGTATAATCTGCCCTTAAGGCCACGTTCACACTGCAGCCTGAAGTTATCCTAATCTGTGGTTTGTTTTTTGGGTCATTTGCGACCCTAACACAGATCTGATTTTTCCAAATGTCACCCGCAGTCCTAAATTGGATACATATCGAATCTTTTCAAATGAGACCCATCTGTGTTACGGTAATTAAAATTCAACAAAAATCCCTTTTCTGCATCTTGCTATGAGGAAACAGGAAGAAAAACAACAACTGAGGTGGGGATAAATGTGCAGGGAGATCAATGGAGAGAAGATGAGGTTTATGATTTGATTTGTATTAGGATCGACAGCTCTTTTTTAGGCCAAACTAGATGGGTTTCATAGGAAACAGGCGGTTTTTGATACATAGATGAGCTACAAGATTAACATCAATGTTTACTTTCACAAACCAGGAGCACGCCTGCTACTTATGATGTCATTGCATCCACTTCTGCACATGTTAGATACTCAAGTGGTATGAATGCATTTCACACAGGAGACCACTTACATTTTGCATACATTTAGAAGTGTGAACGATTAAGCAACATCAGAATTGAGCATCAAGGCCTGCAGAGTGAACCTAGCCTAATAGTTGTGTTCCTGAATTTTCCAACCTCAGCTGTGGGATTCTGCAGCTGCTACCAAAGCTTCTCTGATCATGGCAGTACCTTGGTGGGTTTATAGGTAAATAATTGCTTTTTATTGTTTTAATAAGGCCCTGTGAGATGGATTTCGATGATGTTTTATAAGCCAGTCTTGCTTTAAACTTCATAACTTTCACAATGTTGTTTGTTCTCTATCAAACCTCTGAGTCCATCACATCATAGTGGATTATTAGGTGATGTCTGGAGCCTGTGGATTGTATTTGGGGGCATTAGACAAACCACTATTTAGATTTTGGTTTCTTCTAGGTCTGCAACTAATGATTTTTTGCAAATCGATTAAGCTGTCAATTCTTTTTTTTATTAATAATTAGATAACCAGAGGTTCCATAAAGAAGATTTTTTACTAAATTTAACCCAGGTGAAACTAAAATGTTTCCACTTGAGGAGTTCTGGATAGAGCATATTGACAGATGAAAACCTTTTTAGTAATTTTAAATGCAAAATGTTTACGTATTTTTTACAACTTTGATATAATTACTGCTCCAAGTGGGTCGCTCTGTCAGCTAATGCCATGTTTTAGAGTCTCTATACTCCATTTAACAATTAATCGATTACTAAATTAGTTAACATTTATTTTAATAATCTATTAATCCGATTAATTGTTTCAACCCTTGTTTCTTTATTATTTATTATGAAAACCGTGTGCCATTTTACTTTCCCTTTACAATTATGCACTACTTTGTGATTGTCTCCTGCCAAAAAGCCCCAGTTTTTATACTTTTTCACACTTAATGAAAGATTCCAAGCTATAGCAGCACATTTCTATTCAAATAATGATGTTGAGGGATTTAATTTGTTTTTAAATGTTTACTGATTACAGTTAAGCTCAATGCTACACCTAGTCTTAAGTGTTAAGGTTTGTTTCTTCCCAGAGGCAAACCAAAAAACAAACGTTCACAGGCGTGACTCAGGGAAAGAATATTTTCTTCCTTTTTCCCATCCCATCTTCAGGCTACCTGTGAGGGAGACAGACTGAGCTGCAGAGCTGAGCTGTGTTGGTGAGGATGACTCAGAGCATGTTTAAATAGGGTACAGATGCCTCCTAGTGGCTAAAAGAGTCTATGCAGCACAGTGATCTAGAGATTCTGATGCAACAAACATGTTCCTGAACAGCCTCACATGCTGTGTATAAATGGTAAACATGAGCAGTGTACACCGTAAACAACCTTTTAAATAAAAATGTGTTTTTTTTTTGTTTTTTTGCCTCGCTGATAGATTTAAGAACTCATACATGAGTTTATAAGATTTAATCTCACGCAGTAGCACAACTAAAAGGAAACCCCAGTTGTGGCATGTTAGCGCGGTCGGCAGGGAATAACCCGTTGCACGAGTGTGTAATTAAAGTGTCATCACGTTGTCCCCTCTCACTTGGGCTTGAATGATTGATAGCTGCCTTGCCTGTGATTATTTTATAACATCACTCCTCTGTTGGAATGCCACTCTGCGTCTTACCAAACATCAGTCAACCTCACCTCTGCAATTAGCAATATTATTGATGCCTTTTTTTCTGAGTCTGTCTTGAGCAAACATACATGACCACACAGGCAACGGCTGGCGGGGGGCCACCGTAGAGCTCATGGCTGAGACTTCGGATGGAGGTGGAGAAGAATGTTCTTGGCGCAGGATTCCTGGCTGACTGTTTCTACCACTGAGCAGCAGAGATGTGCACAAGTGTTATGTGATCACGATGGGGTGGAGAAACACAGCAATTATGTTTTAGGAAACAGCACTTTTAAAACTGCCACTTGGAGAAAGTTCTTCTAGGAGTTAGTTTGATTTACAGTTTGAAAGTTTTGATGCTTTTATAGGTTTGACCACTTCTGTAATGGTTTATTAGCTGGTTCATTTTAATTTTACTAGCGTGTCATTAGGTGTTTTGTATTCAAACCCAACTAGTGCTTTCTCCTCTCTGGTTTTTGTGTCGTAAAACAAACATTTTGATTGAATTGTGAGAAGTTATTTGAAAATGTTGTTTTATTGTTCTTTATTCTATCTTTCTGTCTAAATATAAAGACACACAGTCACATATTTTACATATAAGTTTGTGGGTACATGATTAACCAAAACACAGACCACCACCTGAAGTCTCAGAAAAACGCTTGTCTGTCCATGTGTCGTGTTCTGCTCTTCTCTCTCTCTCTGTGCTTTCAATCATCCTTTCCTACAGCTTGTTTTTCTGGTTTTTGTAACATCCGTATTTAGCTGTGAAAATATCTGTAAAGCTCTTTCTAAACATTTGCAAACGTTTCCTTGTAAACACAAACTCTCTTCATTTTAACGGGGCTGACTGTGGTTATTGTTTGGAAACAAAGAGAGGATCCCAATCTCGGTCAGGACTGATAGCATCACTGAAAGGTTTAGTTTTAGGCCAGGTGTCTGACTGGACCATTTGGTTTAAGGCATTTAATTGTAGCTCTAGCTCTAACTTAAAATTTGGGCTTTAATTAAATATTTTGCACACTGTTGAAAAAGTCTGAGTTTGGTCTCATTGTTGTTGGCTAACTCCAAACGGGACTCCCATAAAAATCTACCTGTGAGATGCTTAAAGGTACAAATGTGTGACTTCTCAAGAAATTTGCTCTACCTAGAACCACACTTTTTCAACTTTTTATATAAAACAAAAAAGCAAAAACATGTCACCTCTCTGCCTTGAAGTTATGCACAGCTTCGGGTTGGGGTATCACAGCTGACTGGAAAACCTTGGAAAATGTGAGACTTTGATTTGGACCATGTGTGCAAAAGAGAGAAGTCTCCTGTTCTTCTTGCTGAGTCTGAATTGTGTTCTTTTTCATTAATAGATCAAACACCAATGCAGTATTATTTTTTTTTACTCCTCATTCACAGCTTTTCCAATTTTGATTTTCATTTCCCCTGCTTCCCCAGGTGGGTTGGAGCTCAGCCAGGGATTATTACACCTTCCTCTGGTCGCCCATGCCTGAAAACTACGAGGCAGGAAGTACTGTTCACAGGACTGTAGTGTTTCAAGGTACACACCCACAGACCCACACACTCAGATTATTATGTAAACCGCCATAGAGAGCCAGGGCATTCCAAAGTAACTCCTCCATTTTACGGTGCATATAAAAGCCAGCACTTTTATTTAATAAGGGAGCACGACCGCAAATGACGGCCTGGGACCTGCGCACCTCTACTACCTCACACACACACACAGTAACGCTAAGGGTCTGCGAACTGGTTTTACTGGATTTGGAATGGTCAGATATTACCCAGTGAAAATATGAACGCGCGCTGCGGTGTGTTAGGAGTCAGTAAAAATGGCCCGGCTGCTCGACCTGCCTTCCTCACACCCTCCGTTTTCTTGGATGAAAAGCAGCAGCTGGATGCGAGGGTAAATACAGGCTGTTTGATGTGTCAGCAGATGCAGGCGTTGTTGTAAATATAGACAGAAACACTCATTTGCTCTGATGTTGATACAGGGTGGAAATTAAAGACAATATTAACACACTTTCCCTTCATAGGTTACTATGTTCCTAAATCTGACGGGGAGTTTTACCAGTTCTGTTATGTCACTCACGCCGGTGATATCAGAGGGGCCAGCACTCCCTTCCAGTTCAGGCCAGCCACGCCCACTGAGGAGCTGCTGACCGTTACCGAGGAAGACAGCAACTCAGACATACTGGTTGTCACCACTAAGACAGGCCTGCTGGAGGTAGACCACACACGACCGGTGCTTATGTTTGGTCTTTCTGCTCCTGGCACTTACCTCTTCTTCTTAAAGACACCAACAGACGCATGGCATTACATCATTGTCCCATTTTATCCTAAAACTTCATTAGATAATTTTTCCCTGTGTGTTTTTTCTGATAGTTTGGTTTTCAGATGCAGGATTTCATCAGATTTTAACCTCAATATCACAAAGTTAACTATTATAAATATACTATATTTATATTTTGATGTACTGCAGCGTTTCTTACATTGGAGGCAAGAAGGACTCTGAAAGGTTAGAGTGTTTCCTTTTAGCTGCGCCTGAAAGAGATGCTTGTTTCTTCTTGGCAATGACCGTCCACTAAATGCTAGGGCCGAAGTTGGTATCTGATCCAAGAATGTCTGTCTGCAAAAAAATTAAAGGCTGTTTCCTTTTTTTTTTTTTTTTTGTCTAGACAGAATTTTATAATCTCTACTTCTAAAATGTACCTAATCTGAACTGGATGATTGTACATGAAACAAAGATTCTGTAAAACACAGATTGGATTTGTTTGTTAGGTGCTACATTTGGCCGTCCCTGAAAAGTAGATATATAAAAACCCTGCATAGTTTTTTAAATGTCAATTCAAACTTTATTTACAGTTTATGTTTACTATGTAACAATAAGAGTTTCCCTATAATAAAGACATGCAGAAGATTTCACAAGTGAGGAAAACTTGCTGTCTACGTGTAAATAAAATGAAAACAGCTCCTTCTCACAGCAGATTAAACAAGTGAAAATCCACTTTTTTGGGGGGAGTTTTAAAATGTAGGCATCATTAATCAACATAATGTGGTAACGTTAAGAAAAAAGAGATTTTCATATTACGTTGCATTGGGTGTAGCGGTATGTGTGTTGATTACACTTTATTACACAGATGTCCCTGGGTACAAGCGGACAATAGTGCATTAGGTCTGCAGCTAACGATGATTTTTCAAATCGATTGATCTGAATGAATCGATTAATAATCAGATAGCCAAAGCTTCTTCAAAATTACAAAATTAAACCAGGTGAAACTAAAACTTTTCCACTTGAGCAGTTCTGGTAAGAGCAGATCAACGGAATAAAACGTTTTTTTATCTTAAATGTGAAACATTTGCATATTTTCTTTCCAATTTTGGTATAATTGCTGCTCTTAATGGGCTGCACTGTCAACTAAAAGCATGTTTTAGAGTCTTTATACTCCAGTTAATAATTAAGCCATTACTAAATTAGTTGACGATTATTTTATTAATCCAAATAATTATTTCAGACCTGGATTGCATCTGTTTTTTTATTGCTTATCGTTTGATAAGGGCACATTAGGTGATTTAACTTCTATCTGTTGTACTCCACGCTAAGTCAGTGCAAGAATGCTTCCTCTATGCAGCAGGTTGGAGAGCCTGCAGCTTTTTGGCTGTAAGTTTCCAGTGATTCATGAGCAGTTAAGGAAAAGTGGTGAAATATGGCAGATTGTTTGATTATGTCATTGCTTCATTATGGCAGTCTCATTGTGTATTTATTCTTTATCCTTTTTTTTGTTTTGGAGAGATTATATAAGCCTTTTATTTCATAATTGATGGATCAAACAAGAAAGATACCTTTTATTTTGTATCAAATTAATTTTAACATTAATTGCTGAAAGGGTAGGGTTTAGCTTAGATTTGATTAAAAGGTAAAGTAAATTTACCATTTTTTATTTTAGAAATAACAATAAAAGAAATCTCAGACTTGAAATCCATTCCTATTGTTGCAGCTGCATCATATCTCTACACCCCATAAAGGTCACTAATGGATCTATCTGAGTTTCTTTGGCATCGAAATGACAGGCCTTAGCTTGGAGGGTCCTTAAACAGGCGCCATATTATGGTTGTTTTTTCTTCTTTTGTCTGACAGCGTGTGGAGGAGGCTCAGCAGGAGCGCAGGGAGCTGCTGAAGGCCATGCGCCTTCTGCAGGAGGAGAAGAAACAGTTGCAGGAGGAGCAGAAACAACTGGTTAAGGAGCGGGAGCAGGAGAGGGAGACGTGTTGTCTTTTACGGACACACAACCAGGTTAGACGGACCAGGGGGAGCGCTTCATTTGTTACTGAAGGAGCAAAATTAAACCACCGTATTTGTTCATCGCCACTGATTTGAACTAAGCTGTTTAGGTCATGTTGAGACTGAGGGAGCGAGACGGTCTCTGTGTCTTTGGTTGATCTCAGATGTGTACACACCCCTGTTAAAAGTCCAGCTTTTTATGTTGTATAAAACTGAGATCGTCGTAAATCATTTCTAAAGGAAATCCACTTTAATGTGACATTTATCTTGTCCAAATCGAATGAATAGCAAACTAAGCTATTAGGATGGAAATATGAAAGAAAAACCTGATTGTATAAGTGTACAAACACTTAAACTAACCCTTAATTAAAGGGTGAAGAGCCCTTTGATTCTGTTTGTTATCTTAATTTGATATTTGCCCTCCGTGTCTGGCAGAACTTCTCCAAACTTCCCAGATTGCGACAGAGTTTCGTTTCCGCAGCACCTTTCAGTTCCACCAAGAGATTTTCTGGTAGATTTATTTTTCCTTATTCAGAGCTAAACTCTAGTGCACTTGTAGCTCAACTTTTCTTTAAAACCTAATGTCGACTCGTATGAATAATGTGACTCAATGCAATGCGAGACAGAAGGAACACTTTTCCCTCCAGCTCTTTGAACGACTGCAGAAGGTTTGTGGCAAAACCTGACTACTAATTAAAACGATTAAGCATTTGATTAAAAACTCAATTTCCATCTGAAGAAGAGTAATCATTGACCATGATTATGCATCCACCTTGCCTCATGGTGGGCATGCTTGGTCTCAGCAAACTATAACACATTCTATAAGGTTTTGGGGCGGATTTTTAGTCTCACATTAGGCCTGTGTGAACAAACATGACATCAAACAAATTCAGTTTTTGCAGAACTACTCCTTGTTTTTTGCAAAGAGAATAGATCACAATCAGAAACTCCCTTGGTTCCTTTTGTTTTTCTTATGTATAGGAAACATGGCATCTCTGCTTTGTTGCTGTGAGGAAATGTCTTCTTTTGAGGCCATCAGACTGTTTCCAGGGTTCCCGCGGGTCCTTAAAAAGTCTTAAAAGGCATTGAATTCTTCAAAATAAAACTAAGACCTTAATTGGTATTAAAATATCTTAAATCAGTCTTTCGTAGGTCTTAACTTTAAAAAAAATCATAAAAAGGATAATTTTTTTGTAATCTAAATAAAACATTAAAATTGACAATATTTTTTTATTTATTTAAAAAAATAATGTCTCACCATTATTGGTTCCGTCACGATAGCGGAACCAATAAAAGCGTTGTTGCGGCCGGGACATTTGGGAGATCGCCATTAACTTTTTGTCTGGAAAATATGAGCAAGTGTAAATGTAACGAAAATTGGTTATCCAGCCAAGAGTTTTCTCCATGGCTAAAACCAGGGAACATATATGAGGCTCAGTGTATTTTATGCAAGAAGAGATTCAAGCTCGGAACGATGGGAATTAAGGCAGTGGAGTCGCACATGCGAAGCACGAAACACAAAGCGTCAATATCGAGTTACCGAGAAACAGCCGGTATTTCTCAGTTTTGTTCCACCCTTGTCTCTGCAACGCCTCCACTTATCACCAAATCAAACATACTAAGAAAATGATACAAAGAAAAATAGCTGCAAAAAAGACTTAAGACTGGTTATGTTGTGGCTTTAAAACTGATTTGTTTTGTTCCCTGCTAAAACAATGAATTCAGTTAAATAATTGTTAAAATATGTCATTTGTGTGTTTTTAGCTTTCTTCCTGTATGGGAAGTTTTTTTTTAATTAGTGCAGTGGTTTATGTTATAATAAACCTTTGGGTTAAGTTGTTGCAAGCGGGTTTTTCTTGTGTTTCTTGTGAATTTGGTCTTAAATTTTTATTTCAAGTGGCATTAAAAAGTCTTGAATTTAACTTGCCTTATGCTTTAGGAACCCTGGTTTCAGTAGCATCTTGTTTTGCTCTCTCACAAATCAATCCCGTTTTATAATCATTTTGGTTGCAAGTGTGTATCAGAGGGCCGAATGTAGAAACAAAACATGTGCTTTATAAAGGGACTCCTTTTGAATGCATACACCACCAGTTTTTTTTTGTTGAATTGTGCAGAAAATATTTCAGTAGTTTCTTTTAGTCACCAAACCATAGCTTTTTTTTTTTTTTTTTCAAGCAGGAACCCACCTACACCTGGAGCCGGTTCCTCATCAGTGATCATAGACCGGAAAACTTCAAAGTCCTGCACATTTATGAATAATCTGCGTCCATGTTTGACAGACACACTTAAAGCTGCTGCTTTGTGAGAGATTGTGTGTGTGTTTGTGTGCCTCCCCCTTGTCTCTCACTCCTTCTTTTAATGACCTGACTCAGTGGGCCAGAACGGAATTGGGACACGTTTTTTTTTTTTTCCGGGCATCTGGCGTCGGGGACGATGCCATCGCAACCGCAGAGTGAAAAAACATGACGTCCAACGCTCGCGCACCGAGGCGTCACACTCGCATTCAGGTTGCACGCCACGGGGCCCCTCGGATTTGCCCTCACACACAAACACACTCGTTATGCCACCCGCTTGCAAAAAAAAAAAAAAAAACTTTTAGTCTGTGTGTGTGGAATGACAGGAGTGTAGTCCACAAAACCGCCTTCATGAAAAAAAAAAAAAAACAGCCCTGCCCAGCCTGAGGGACAAACACAGCTCAGTCACGCGATTCAGCGGCCACTGCCTTCCGAACAATTTTCCTTTCCTCCTCCTTTTTCTTCCAGGGTCACGTTGTGGGAATAGATTGTCAAAAACTAAGTCAGAATTGAAAGTAAGGAATCTGTGAACCTGGATATTTGTCAATTTTCTCACTCTCATCAGAATGAGTCACATTCAGGTTTTATTGTTTGCTGCATTTCTCAGTTGATGATGACTAGCTTGGCATGAGCTATAGCCTTAGAGAAGAGAGGATTTGGCAGAACAGAAAGAGAAGCATTAAAACTTGCCAAGAGTTCTCAAAAGTTGGACTCTGGTCTCACATCGCCCCCTGGTGGATCCTTTGAGCTGAGCTCCACAGTGGGATCAGGCTGCTTTGAGTTAGCCTGCTGCTCTTATTTTATGAAGGACAAAATTGCCATAAATCGAAACGGTAATACACATACACTGACTTACACTGTTATTACCGAGCTGCTTCTCATTCAACAGCCCTGTCCATCTGTGGATATACGACTTGTTGAAGCTCTCGAAAATTTTAAGCTCTCTTGTCAGCTCTCGGCTCTCCCGATGGAAAATATCCCTTTAAGTTTTACATGAAAACATAAGTACATATTTTGCGGCTGCTAATTTTACGACTACACTTTTTATAAGGTCTTTATGCACTGCTAAAGTGCTTCCCAAATGCCAGCTGTAAAAAAAAAAATATAGGAGAGAAAGAAATCATACAGCCATCTATACAGAGCCAGCCCAGAGGGAGACGGGGCCTTAGCGTGCGTCGATGGGTGCGCTCGTACTATTATCTACGATGGATTGATTGTTAAAGTCTGGGTTCGGCTGTCTAAATGTCCTTTAATGTGCAGCTGGAGCTTTATGTGTTGGAGAGAGAAAGTGGGCCCGCTGGTGCTCCTGAGAGAAAGGCGTGTGCAGACGCTCTACTGTCCCGTCATTTCTAATATTAGCCGTCGATGATTTAATGCCCTTCTGTGCAGATGAGCTGCAAGTTTAAACAGGAAGACCTGTCAGCCGGAACACTCCGCATGGAGAAATGTTGGCTCCTAGCACATGTACTGGGAGTTTATTTCTTTTATATTTAAAGTTTCATGTCCCCATATTATTTGTACATATTTTTTAAGGATAAATTTACTCTCCCTTTGGGATTAATGAAGTATTTCGATTTTTTTATGTTGACTATTTTCAGGTTGTAACTACACACCTCAACGGTTTTCAATGGGATTTAATAATTCTGAACTACTAAAAAGATGCCCGATTCTAAATTTCTAAATAAAGGCATTTTACTGTATTACTTTTAGAGGTGGAAAAAATTAAATAATTTAATGAAAATAAAGGGGAGTTCAGTTTAAAGTTTTTGCTTAGAAGCACTGGTTATATGTGATTATAGTTTAACCTAAAACAATATGAGCCCGATCTTCAAAGATTCTATATATGGAGCATAAATTGCATATTGGCAAAAATAAATGTATATTATTGGCAAAATAAATATTGGCAAAATAAAACTACTTGCATGTGCAATAAGTGGGTGTGTTGTGGGCGATCTACAGTGATAAGACATGCAAACGGGTTTGGTTCTGCCCATTAAATCGAGCAGATTGTGTGTGATCCTGGCAGTTTGAGAATGACCATAAAAGAAAGAGGCTCTAAGCCATGGAGTTGGGGGTAAAGATTATAATTGGATAATTTACAGTGAACTTGTAAAGGTAACCCAAAGCTCTAAAAACAAAAGATTAAGAGATCTAAAGTTAAAGTAAAATTTTAAAGACAACATATAAAATGAGAAAGTTGTCTTTGTCTACTCATTGATTCCCCGTCTCCTGTCAGAGGAGCTTCAGTCAGGTTTAAACCAGATATTAAGCTCTAAACAGCTGAATTTACATCCACTAAGATAAATCACTCATTTAGGCCCTAATTAATGTGATAAGACATAACTTCTTGTTTCCATTTAACATTAATTTGCATTTTGTAAGATCAGATCTTTGGTTTTGTCTGCTTTTGTTGATTGTTTATTTCTATAAAGTTTAAAAAAACGAATGGAGATTTATCATTGAGTGACGGCTCTTTAAGCCTCTTGGTAGTGTTATAGATTTTTAAAATATGTATATATAAGTCAATTCAGAGGGCAAGAAATATTGCAAAATAACCCTTTATTATGCAGCCAAATTTAAAGCCAACTTTTTAGTTTTTTGTAGCCAAATGTTCAAAATCCAAATGTTCTGATATTGGGGAAATGACAAAATAACCAATTGTATAAGAATACATCATGCATCATAGTCTCTTAATAAATATCAAAATTAAGGATTGATTAATGACTTGGTTACAAATGAAAATGATCTCCTGCAAAGTTTAAGCTGCTGTATCGACTACTCTGATTGGCTGCCTCTCTGCCTCACAGGAGCTGCTGCGCTCGTCGCAGGGACTCTCAGATGAGCGCGAGGAGGTTCGGAGGAGGCTGACGGAGGCCAAAGATAGAGTCCGACAGCTAGAGGAGGACCTGCTGGGAGTCAACCAGAGGGGTCTTCAGAAGGAGACAGAGTTGGACTGGTGAGACTGTTAATACTGGAAACAACCGCAGCAGCCTAACGATGGGTTTTACAAATATCTTACGCATAAAGATGTTTTCTTGTTCGATGCAGCCTGCGTGACCGGTTGAAGAAGCTGACAGCAGAGCGAGACGGTCTGGAGAGCCAGCTGAAAAACGAGAAGGATGAGAGAGATCTTTATAAGGTGAGGAATGAAAAACCTCTTCAACTGTTCAGCTGTCAAGGTCTTTGTTTTCAGTCTAGTCTGAAGGTTCCTGCTGTGTACATGTGTAGGCTCACCTACGCAGCACGGAGCTGGAGAACACCAAGCTGAGCGCAGAGCTTCAGATGCTAAAGGCGGTAGAGCTGAACAGGGAGGTGACCATCGCTCAGTTCCAGGAGGAGCTGGAGAGGCTCAGGGTCTGCGTGGCTCAGAGAGACAGTCTGGAGAGAGAGCTGCAGGCGCACAAACATGACAAGGTTACAATGTTTGTCCGTCACATTTGATCAAGGAGGAAAAACGGGACCAGAACGTGAGCAAAAGTTTCAATTTTTTAAATGTTTCATTAACGCTTTCAGGCAGAGCTGGCCCGCTTACGTGAACAGCTCCGCCAAGCTGAGGAGCAGCTCCAGGCGTCCAGGCAGCAAGCCGCCCTGCTCGCCTCTGAGTTGCGGGACTCGACTAGTGCCCGCGACCACACCATGGCCGAACTGTACCGGGCCCGCATAGAAGCGGACAAGCTGCGCACCAGTCTGGTTGACGCTCAGGCCGAGTGTCAGCGCATGGAGAGCCAGCTGGACCGGATGAGGAGCACTGCCCACAGGGAGGTGGTCAGTGTCACGTCTCCTGAATGTTTTCCTGTTAGATCCAAGTAAATCCCATTGTGTCGTTCTTTACGTCACTCATCAAGTCGTTGCGTTCCAGGGTGTTGGGACAAACAGCGACGGCATCATGGTGGTGTCAGAGGCTGAGGCCGAGCTGCAGCGGGAGGTGGAGGAGTTGAAGCTTCGCCTCCATATGGCTGCAGAGCACTACAAGGAGAAGTACAGGGAGTGTCAGCGCCTCCGCAGACAGGTGGCCAAGCTCAGCACTGCAGAGTCACAGGGAGCCATTATGGTGCGTCCAGAAAATCCAGGACTAGAAACAGGTTTTACTCACCGCCTCAGCCTGAATCAACAATTCACTTGGTTTGATTGCAGGAATCAAAGAAAAGCGTGTCCACTGAGACGACTCAGGAGCCGCTCATCTCTAGTCCAGAGTCTCCGACTGAAGGTAGAGATGCTAAAGGGCACTAAGCACACAATGTTCATACTCCTCACACCTTTTAATGACGAATCGCATCACGACCAGGGAAGCTTATGAAAGTTTATTCAGTCTAGTTCAAAGAATATAGATTTTTACGCATGTTCTAAAGTCTTAGAGGTGGGGCATGTACTTAGATGTATTTAGACCCCTTAAATACAATCTAGTGCAACCAGCTTCCCTCAAATAAAGTAAAATATTTGTAGGTCATTTATTCTCTGTTGAAATTGTTGAAATTAAGCATTTTATAGGGAGAATCACAGTTCTGCTTCTGAAGCCTGGAGCGTCCTGCTTCAAGGACGTGTTCAAGTCCTTCATGGTTTTTAAAATCATCCTGATTGAAGAGAATAAAACCTAATTGCGAAACCTGAAGGTATATTGCTGCAACAAAATGGTTGAAATACAAATTAACTCCAATACTGGTCTTTTTTCCTTGTATCAGCATGGGCAGATTCATCAGCCTTGCCCTGAGGTCATGGGAATTTACACGCGTTGTAGCTCCGTCCATTCACCGTCCACTGTTATATTTAGTTTGATTTGTTGAGAAAGGTTTCTTGTTTGTTTAATTTGAGACTTGTGTAACATTTGTTATCATTCAGATCATTTAAATGGAAGAAAAAAAATGCAATATAAGCTGCAAAAATATTAGTTATTTCCCTTTGGGTTTAATTAAGTATTTTTGAATTGAATTGGAAAAATTGGCAGCAGTAGTTGGCCTAGTGGTTAGAGCAGTGCGCTTGTGCTCTGAGAAGGTTCAAAGTACCCACTTGGATCCACACAGCCTCCACTCTGGGTTCCTGAGCAAAACCCTTAAAGGTACACTATGCAACCGGTGTTGATTTTCCAGCGAGGCTCCCTCCAGAGGGCGAAAGTAAAAGTGCACTGTCGTAAATATGCACAGCTGTTCTCCTGGTTTCTCCGTCAAGCCAGGCGCGGTTGTTTTGAGCTTAGCAGCGAATGACTAACGCTGCGTTCACACTGGACGTAGCTGGCGCGACAGAAGCAGCGAGTTTACATGCAAAGTCAATGGTTGACGCGCGTCAAGGCGCAACAAAAGGTCCCGCGGCGCGTTTTGAGCTGCAGGCGCAGCACGTCTGAGCAGCTGAAGCAGCGCGTCGGGTGCGTTTAACGCAGGGAGAGAGACACAGCGCTGATGATCTCTCCTCTTAAACAGTTTATTGACGCCTAAATTAACTTAAAATGTAGAAATCTGCCGGCAGAATATGCAGTTTGGATTATTTAGATGAAAAACACCTACCAGCTGCCGCGGTGAACCGCTGCTGATGAAGGGATCCATACTGTCGGCGCCCCGCTGGTATGTGGGGGTCTGAGCGGCTCCGACAGAAAAAATATTGAAGGCAGGATAATAATCTGAATGAACTGACTGCACTGATTACGTTTTCAGGTGTATTTTCTCACTTAAACACATATTAAAACTACTTTATTCCCACTGATCACAGCAAATATAGCTGCAAGGCAGAGAAAGGATAGTGAAGCTCCGCCCAACGCGCCTCAGACACAGCCGGAGCAGCAAAGCTGCTTCAGCCAAGAGTCAGTACTAACTGGTACAAGCAGCAAAAAGGAAGCAGCAGACGGGATTTTGCTGCTTTTGCTGCGTGAACGTAGCATAACTGCACAAAGATCGCCACTGTGCTAGCAACCAGAATGCTTTTAACTGGGGGGTGTAGCAGTTCTCGCCGTAAAGCAAGACTGACTCTCACGAGACTTCTGAGCCTGTGGGTGCGGGTCGGTGCTCCTGCAGTTGCAAGTGCAGTATTTCCCCCACAGACCACCAGGGCGGCCGAGAATACCTTTGTTCAACCTGAAATGACTCATTTAATCATCCAAAACGTTATGGAACACATTAATTAACTGAAAAATGTTGCATAGTGTCCCTTTAACCCCTGGTACCCGGGCGCTGCACAATGGCAGCCCACTGTTCCCCAAGGGGATGTGCAGAGATTGAATTTCCCCAGTTTAGGACAATAAAGGGAGTTACATTTACAATTTAAACATCTCTGCTCTTCACATGCAGTAATAAGACAGCCGTAATGGTTCATTGAATGCAAAATAGACGCTGTATTAAAAGGCGGTAGAACATTGAAGTTTTAGGTTTTTGTGACAAAACAATGAATCTCAACTGTAATGGGCCTGAATTTGTTTCTTCCACTGTAGAAATGAACTTTTTGCACACATTTAAAATCTAGACCTTCCAAACAAATATTGTGAATTTTTGATTGTCTTAAATCTAATATGTTGGAAGAATTATTACAGTAAATCAACAACAGAATTTTCTTAAACCCCTCGCTTATGCAGGAAGTTCCACTTCTACCGTTCTACAAGAAGCTGCAGACATGACAATCCCCCCAGAAGTTAGAAACCAGCAATCCACACACACCGAAGCTAACAGCGAAATAGAGGCGGAGGAAACCCCGATGGAGCCGCCTCTGAAAGAGGCTATGGTGGAGTCAGGGAGGGAGGAAACGCAGGAGGAGGAGGGGAGAAATGGTAGCAAGAAGAAGGAGAACCTGCCTGAGGAGAGCCTGAAGATGGCGAGCTGGGTGGAGGTGAGCAACGAGGAGAACAGCGAGGTGGAGGAGGAAGCGAGGGAAAACGTCGAGGTGGAGACGGCGGAGAAGGAGCAGACACGCTCGGTGGAGGCGGAGCTGGCCGTGATGGAGGAGAAGTGGAGGGAGCAGTGCGTCATCAACGATACCCTCAAACAGCGGCTGGCTGACGAGGAGGGGCGATTCAGAGTAAGACAATAACAGCAGCTCTCTGATTCTCCTCTTAACTTTCCTCTTTGATTTAAGAGAAAAATAATGTCCAACTGCAGCCATGAAATGCATCAAATGATGAAAGAGAAAAACACAGATGCAGCTTTTCTGATCTCTGTTTTGTCTTCAGCAAGTGGAATGCATGATTTACCCTTTAGATAGCTCAACTCATTTACTTCAGTTTAATTCCTGCTATTTGAAAAAAACATCAAATCCAAAAAAAGTTCAAAAATGAAACGGGTTCAGTTCATTATCCAGGGATACAGTTCAATCTGGGGTTTATCCATAGTAAATTGGTAAAAAGTTATCTAGATAAGGAAACCATCGACTTGGTCCGTATGTTAACTGCAGCAATCCCTCTTCCAGAGATAGAACAACACAGAAGCAGTTGGATAAAACCCTAATAAGGAGCTAATATTTCAACATAGCTGCTGCTAAATTGTCTTAAAGAGGCTGAAAAGTCAATAAAGTGATTTCTGTATCCGCTTATAAAACATGGCATAAGATCCATACATATTCCAAACGTCTGAATATGGAATAAAATCAAGAAATTATAGCTATAGCTCATAGCTGTACCTCAGTGTGCACAAGACTCCAGCTCATGTTCCGCCCTGAGCAAATTGATTAGTGTTATTTCATGGTTACCAATGGCAACCCTAGGGAGGCATTTTAACTGCAAAAGAAATACATGTGTTGGTGAGTCGGTTGTTTTCAGCCACAGTGGAGTGGTGACTATTAAAAGGAAGCATTATTAGGATCAGAGTCTGATATGGAGTGATCATATTTACAAGAACATCCAGTTAGCATTGCATTTATTACTGGCTGTAATATCTTAGATTTCTGGAGAATTTAATACAAAATATTTTCTCCCTACAAGTTGTTTCAGGAAGAATGTTTATTCTTTGCTGATTCTGTTGAACAGATTTAGGGGGATTCATGCTGGGAGGGGCTGCTTCTCAGAGGGGTTAATAGCTGTAAATGATAAAAAAAAAAACTGAAAAGGCATTTAATAGTTCCCATGGATTGCTTGTTTATATTTATTTGTTATTCTTCAGAACTGTGCGCCCAGCTACCTTTCCCGTTTTCCTACTTTGGAGCTGTGTTCACTGAGCTCCTCCTGTGATGAGCAGCGATGACATAAACCCGGCGAGTCGGTATCTCCGGTCCTGAACCCAGTTCAGCACATAGATCCAAGACTAATGCTTCACGGAGCGTAATCCACTCATAAACTCATGATGATGATCATGAGCCACTAAGTCCTGGTTATTGCATCCATCAGGCACAATGGTGCCTGGTTGTTTGGGCAGTATCCACATTTTTGTAGCAGTTTCAGGTTTATAAAGTCCTTCTATGATTCCACTTTCATATGAAGGGGAATTATGCTGCTATCTGACTTCAGTTCCCTTCCCACCATCTGTTTCAACAGTTTCCCTTTGGAAGGGTCAGAGGTGGCATGATGAGCTGCACATTTATACACCGACTTTGTTTTTTCTAACAAAACATTTGTGCAGAAATGCTCGTATGCAACTTTCAGGCCTTGCTTTGTGCATAAGCATGCTTTTTAAATGAGTTTTAAGTATGCCTTTTTTTTCTGCACCCTTTTAAATGCACTTCTAGAGTAAAAAAAAAAACTTGAGGCAGTCATCATTGTAGACGTGCAATTTTAGAACCATAAAGGAAATCAGACAGAGTTTTAAACATTTTGAAAATAAAAAACAATATATTTTTTTTAGATCCTTTCTGTTTTTTGTTTTTGTTTTTTGGTTTCCTTTTTGATATTGTCGGGTCTTATTATGTCACAAAACACCTTTAATGTTTTAATGCCTGCTATAACTGCAAAAAAAGTAGTGCCTCCTGTTAAAGATGGGCTTTCTGTGTGTCTACACCTCAGAGATTTCTGTCTCCAGTTCTTTTCCCTGAAAAGAGATCACTCACACAAACTCTTTAAATAACACTTCATAACTTATATGTATTAAATAACCGGGAGACACGACAACAGATGTTGATATAAATTGTAATCTTACGCAGACAGAAAGTTTAGAGCATTGAAAGTGGCTCATAGACTCCGTCTGTATTTTATGAGCAATAGTGCTTCATTATCAACATATTATTACAACGTAGTTAAAGTGTTTTATTTATTTTTTATCTGGCAATGTCTAAAAAGAAAAATAGGATGCATCATTTCTGATGACCGCGCTGGAATGTTTTAGCCACACCCTCAGTCCTCCAAGTTTTAATTTCCAGATGTTTTCAGCTGAGATGGGGAAGAACATCCATCCCTACCATCCTGTTCACCATGGGTGGGAAGATAAACATGGGTCATTGTCTAGCGTAATTATATTTCGGCGAGATTGGCAACATTTAATAATCCGAAATTCCTAGGACCCTTTCTGGATGTACGTATTCATTTATTTACCAAGACTGCATATTGTTTTCATCTATAGTCCTGTTTGCCAGTTGCACAGTGGCACCCTAAAAGAAGTATCAAATATTTTAAACAGTGAATTATATATTTGAAACACCATATTAGGGCTGCGATAGTCCATTGCAGTTCCTCCTACTGCATACATTTATTTATTTTTTAATGTCACAGCAGTAAAAGCTGAATTTATCTTGACGTCTTTCACACGTGCAGTTAAATCTACTTCATCCATAGAAGAATAAAAATATTTTACATCTAAAGGAACTTTGAACTGTTCCTTGCTGATCCTTTTTGCATTTTAAAGGCACTTTTTTATTTTAGGTAGAATGTATAGAAATATGCCGACGTTTTCCACAACATTGAAACGTCTGACTGGCATTTATTCTAGGTGAGTGAGTGTGTGTTTATCTAGGCTGTAAATGCAGTGCTCCCTTCACTTTGATATAGCCCCCTGTGCTTAGGGGATCGCCCTGGGGGCCCCAAGCTGCCCTTAATGGCCCCCACAGCCTGGACAGAAAGAGTGAGTGAGGGAGGGAGGGAAAAGGCGCAGAACCCGGTGCTTTACGGCTGTTTACATGAGTCAGCTAGAGGGCTGGAGGCAGGGGTAGAGGGATACACAGGGAGACACATGATGGGGGGGCGTCGGTTGTAAATTCAAGAAAGGAGGGCTGAACAAGAAAGGACAAAAGGAGATGAAAGGGAATTTAAAGGGAGGAGAAGAAGAAGCAGACAGAATGAAAGGATGATGAGATCAGGACAGACAGACAGAGGTAAGGGGGGGGGGTATGATCTGAGAACTTTAAAATAGGGTGAAATAGGAGGCGATATAAACCATCCCACAGGGTCGGTTCTGTTAGAAAGTGAGGGATTTATGATGCCCCTGACCCGTTCCATCTTCCCTTAAACCCAGATCTGCTTTCTTATGGCTGGGAGCTCAGTGTTTTACAGTAAGCCCTACACATTGGATAACACTGCAAACACAAGGCAAATATTTTGCTCTCTTACTCACCTGGGAGAACGCACGCTGAGGTTTTTTCCTCACGGCTGACACTTACTGGAAGGAGAGAGGATGATCTGGTTGGACAGGTAACGAGATTATTCTCACCCTGCCAGGAGTTTTATTCCGCTTATCAAAGAAAGTCTGATAAGACATGATTGAATGGGGTCATTACTGCTACGGGATCTCCACATATGTCCTGTCATTAGGTGCAGATGGCAGAGCGAGCCATGGAGGTGTCCGAGCTGAAACAAAACCTCGCCCAGGCTCTTAAAGACAAAGAGCAGCTGCAGGAGGTAAAAAAAAAAGCACAGCCACGACAGTTCTATGTAGCTTTGACCTATTTTGTCACCTCACAGCTACAACTGCAATGAATGTTATTGGGTTTTTCTCTGACTCACAAACGCATCTACAGGCTTAATCCAGAGGTAGTGTTCTGCATTGAAATTCAATCCTCCAGAATCAGAAGCGCTTTTCTCTACAGCTACAGCTTAGAGTCTTAGAGATATTCTACAGCTTCCACATCCAGAGAATGAAAAGCAACACAAACTACTTCCCAGAGCTAGAAAAAACATGTCTAGCTCTGAGAAGCAGCTTGTGTTGCTTTGTACTTGGAATTTTTCAGGTACATAATTATTTCTTTTAAAATTAAAGATGCACCGATCCGATATCTGGATCGGATATCTTTTCAGATATCAGTTACCTGGATCAGATATCGGTTCAGATATCCGATACCTGGATCTGATATCGGTTTAGATATCCGATACCTGGATCGGATATCGGCGTAGATATCAGATACCTGGATCGGGTATCGAATCATATACCCGATACCTGGATTGGTTATCGGCTTAGAAATCTGATACCTGGATCTGATATCGGTTTAGATATCCGATACCTGGATCGGATATCGGCGTAGATATCAGATACCTGGATCGGGTATCGAATCATATACCCGATACCTGGATTGGTTATCGGCTTAGAAATCTGATACCTGGATCTGATATCGGTTTAGGTATCCGATACCGGGATCGGATATCGGCTCAGATATCAGATACCTGGATCGGATATTGGATCCTATACCCCATACCTGGATCGGATATTGGCTCAGATGTACGATACCGGGATCGGATATCGGCTCAGATATCAGATACTTGGATCGGATATCGGATCATATACCCCATACCTGGATCGGATATTGGCTCAGATATCCAATACCTGGATCGGATATCGGCTCAGATATCCGATACCTGGATCGGATATCGGCTCAGATGTCCGATACCTGGATCGGATATCGGCTCAGATATCCGATACCTGGATCGGATATCGGCTCAGATATCCTATAATTGGATCAGATATCGGCTCAGATATCTTATACCTGGATCGGATATCGGTTCAGATATCCGATACCTGGATCGGATATCGGCTCAGATATCCTATCCCTGAATCAGATATCCGCTCAGATATCTTATACCTGGATCGGATATCGGTTCAGATATCCGATACCTGGATCGGATATCGGCTCAGATATCCTATCCCTGAATCAGATATCGGCTCAGATATCTTATACCTGGATCGGATATCGGTTCAGATATCCAATACCTTGATCGGATATCTGCTCAGATATCCGATACCTGAATCGGATATCGGCTCAGGTATCCGATACCTTAATCGGATATCGGCTCAGAAATCCTATCCCTGCATCAGATATCAGCTCAGATATCCGATACCTGAATCGGATATTGGCTCAGATAGCCGATACCTGAAACGGATATTGGCTCAGATATCCCATACCTGAATCGGATATCGGCTCAGATATCCTATCCCTGCATCAGATATCAGCTCAGATATCCGATACCTGAATCGGATATTGGCCCAGATATCCGATACCTGAATCGGATATCGGCTCAGATTATTGCCTAATTAGCTGAATAGGATATCTAATCCAATTCACTTCACATGAAACTGTTATTTCTGTCTTTTTTCTGCTTATTTTTTTAATAAATGATATAAAGTACATTTATAAATATGTTAATTTTTCACCTTTTTAATAATGGCTGACATCTAATGAAGTGGCCGACATCATTTACACACGGATATCATCACAAATATCATCAATATCAAGCTACAGATTAGTGAAGAAGCAGAGCCTTAAGTCTTTTTCCATTTTCCTATCTCTGCTACAGATAAAGCCTGCTTATAGCATGATGCCGCCACCATCATGCATTTTTTAGCGTGCAAACAGTTAAAGTTTGACTGTTGGATCAGAACACCACCTACAACATGCTTGCTTTGCTCCTGGCCTCTTTATTCTTGGCATTCTTCCATAAAAGCCAAACAAATAAACTCTAAAATAGAATATGTGCTCTCTAGCACAATTATCTCTTTTCAATTCTACATCTGAGTTTTTCCTCATTCAACAACCCTCCACCCTTCCAACTAATTTATACAGCTAATCCTGCCTCTTCCGCCAACCGGTACAGTGCCATTAGACAGTGCAAATGCCACATTACGTGTCTGTTTCACCTTCCCAACCCTGGTTTAAATGTTAAACTTGATAGCAGCGCGCTAATGAAGTCATCAGGAGAGAAGGTCAGGGAGGGATCCTTTAAAAGCCAAGAAAAGGAGGAAGGAAGCAAAAAGCTGGAGCGGAGGAAAGGAGCCAGACTGTGACACCCATTACAGTAATGAGTAGGGTACTAATGCTCCTGCTTCAGGTATGACCACAAAGGGCAAAAACACTGGAACTCAAAAGTCAAAGTATTTTTTTTTTCTTTTTTTTGTGCTTTTTTTCATGCTGGAAATGTGCTGTAGGGATGTCAACTGAATTACTAATAAAGCTGATGCTAATAGAGCTGGGAGACAGATGATGCCTTATATATAAATCCATATGATTGGAAAAAGAAAAAAAAACAGTCATAACTAAATATGTGAGACCATGTAATGACACACAGCTCTAAATCATTTCAGAGGTCACTGAGATATTTGATGTAGCCTTACTATTTGTGTTTTAATCTCTATATCAGACTAGATGTCTTGTGGAATGTCTGTTGAATGGAAGAATGCAAAATGTTCAGTTAAAAGAATTGTACTGCACGGTGGTGGTGGCATTATGCTTAGGAGGGGCTCTTCATCTGCAGTAAACATCCAGGCAGGATGCGTTGGTGTTTGTTGTTGTCTGACCCTCTTTTCTATCAATATCAAGGAGCTCCTGCGTTATAAATCCAGGCAGAGGGAGCTGGAGGCGTGCGGGTCGGAGGCCAAGCAGACCATGGTGCTCCGCTACCCCCTGCCCTACCCCCAGGACCCCTCCCCACCGCCACTGGTCCCACAGAGGCCTGCGGAGCTGCAGTACGGCAATCCTTACTCCTCCGAGACACCAAAAGGTTGGACAGATGTTCATTCTGGGACTGTTCTCCCTCTCCCCCCTGCTGCCCGTGCTGTAACTCCTCCATGTGCTCCTGAATGCCTCAGCAGACCGGGTGGATGTCGCCTTGTCTCCAGAGCACCTTTCACGTCCTCCACCCGAAGCACCGCTCTGCGCCGCTCCCTGCGCACCCCCAGTGTCTCCCCCCAGCCCGAGTCCTGGAGCTCCAGGTTGGGATCAGGAGGTGGTTTGCATCCAGCCTTCCCGCTGCACCACTCCTCCAGAGAACATGGAGGTTCCAGCAGAGGAGGCGCCAAAAGTAAGATGTTTGTGTTTCTAAGACAAAATCATTCACAGCCTTTTTTTTTTTAAGTGGCAGGAAGCGAATGAGTGAACGTTCAGCCTTTGCTCCTTTAAAGGAATAGTACACCCAAAACATGATTAGCCTTCATTTTCTACTCACCCCCATGCTGAACAACACTCTGGAGTACTTTTTTGATATCTCAAATGCATCTGGAGATCTGGGAGGCTTCTTGCTGTCTGCTGACATTCAAATAATGGAGGTCTATGGCGCCCGAGGCAGAAAGGTCCATAAAAGTCCACAAAAAACGTGTCAATATTCCTCCATACTGCTCGTCCAATGTAATCCAAGTGTCCTGAGTGGGTAGCGTCCAGAATTTACTCGAAACGAAGTCATTTAGAATGTTTTTAGAGCATAAACAGTAGTGTATAGGATTTCCTAATAGCGCCCCCATGCGCGCTCGCGATTCTACGGAAGCCGGCAGACCAAACCAGCGCATTCAGCTCGGCAAAGAACTCATGCTCTTCCTCAACACTGAAGTCCTCAGACATTTTTCTTTCGTTGTTTCTTTCTTTGCACAGGTAAACAGCACATTTCTTCTTCTACGCTTGCATTATCGGCAGACCAGACGCTGAATGCGCACTTTCTTCCGGTTTGGTCTGCCGGCTTCCGTAGAATCGTGAGCGCGCATGGGGGCGCTATTAGGAAATCCTATACACTACTGTTTATGCTCTAAAAACATTCTAAATGACTTTGTTTCGAGTAAATTATGGACGCTACCCACTCAGGACACTTGGAATACATTGGACGAGCAGTATGGAGGAATATTGACACGTTTTTTCTGGACTTTTATGGACCTTTCTGTCTCGGGCGCCATGGACCTCCATTATTTGAATGTCAGCAGACAGCAAGAAGCCTCCCAGATCTCCAGATGCATTTGAGATATCAAAAAAGTACTCCAGAGTGTTGTTCAGCATGGAGGTGAGTAGAAAATGAAGGCTAATCATGGTTTGGGTGTACTATTCCTTTAAGGAGCCATTGTACTCCTGTTGTAATTCTCCTCCTTACTGCCTGTCTCTCCGTTTCTGGAGGGCTTCTGCATCCCTTCATTTACATCAGGCTGTAACTAACGTCACTCCATTAGGACTTAGGAGAGAGATTAATGGAAAAAAAGACTTTTTACTGCAGGAAAGAAGACAGATTACCCTCATGGTTATTGACTCTTAAGGAATGAAGCCGTATGTTGGTCCTTTTACATGTGTGAGCTAACTTCCCCCTCACTTTTTGTTTGTTTATTCTAAGATGTGTGACCGAGCTCAACAGCCATGCGACCATCAGACCAGCAGACGCAGTGAAGTGAGGAGCAGCTTCTGCTTTGATTCCAGGTAGCACCTCTATCTACAAACACAGATTCATTAATATATCCCCTTACTGCCATGTCATACATCTGAAAAGTGTGGCAGGCTTTTGTTTTCGAGTCGTCTTTTCTGTCTGATACCTTTATGGAAAGTCCAGCGCTAAATAAATAGGAATATATATGACCAATGCTCACCTGAGACGGTGATCAAAGTGTTTGTTTGATCCTAACATGCGTCTTTTATAGAGGAGAGGCAACTACTGGAAGAAGCTCCGCCCAGTTCACGCAGAAACCCATTTCTTTCATAGTTGACCGATGTTCAGCCGTGATTTGCTTCTCTTTGTCGCTTGGTTTGAATCAGAGAAATTGATATATAGGAAGAACCCGTTTCTCTAACAGGAAGCAAATATTTCTATATTTTGAACCCGTCAAATTTTATAAAACAGTTAATAAAATGAATCCTATTATTCTGCACCACTCGTAATGTTCTATGCATTCATTCTTTTTTTTTTTTGGTAAACAATCACTTGGATATAAAAGTTGTACACTGCAAAAATGAGTTAAAATGTCTTATAATAAGTTTTTTATACCCCTATTGGAGTAGGTAAATAAGATGATCTACTAATAGACCCCTAAAATGAGATAATTGGATATTATGCTCTTAAAATAAGAGACAACAGTCGTTTTTTTTCTTATTTAAAAGGTAAATGGTCAATCTATCGGCAATGTCTCACTTACCTGCTCAATGCAATAAAAATGCACTTATTTCAATAAGATTTAATTGGAATTAAATGTTTTGCAATATCGATACCACCTTTCTAAGCCGTCAACTTTCCGCTCTAAAGAAATCATTTAAAGAAAGATGAACTAAAGGTACATTTACTTAGAAAAATTGTGTTTTTTTGTTACTGCTGCTTTGTGCTGTTTTCTTATTTCTACAAAAAAGTATCTAACAGCTTTGCATGTAAGTTTGTAAACAGAAAATAAGTCAAAAAAGGATCACTTGTATCGGTTCTACTGAATATTAACTTCCTCTCATAATTAGAAGCTTTTCTGGGTGAAATGTGTTTATAAATGCGAATTTTAATTTATTTGTTTTCTGGTTGCATTTTTACGTTACGTTTTGCAGCCCATGCCTTAAACGCCTCTCTTCCTTTCCTTCCCGCTGCAGCTCGGACGTCCACAAGCGCTGCCCGCTGTGCGAGGTGATCTTCCCGCCCCACTTTGAGCAGCGCAGCTTCGAGCAGCACGTGGAGAGCCACTGGAAGGTTTGCCCCGTCTGCTCCGAGCAGTTCCCCCTCAACTGCCAGCAGCAGCTCTTCGAGAGGCACGTCCTCACGCACTTCGATGGCAACGTGCTCAACTTTGAGCAGAGCGAATGAGCGGAAAAGTCCAGAGCTTGAATTGTGCTGCGTCGGGATGAAGACGTTATTAAGTCCCAATATTTAGCACTTTTGTTTTTGTTTGTTTTGCAAAGAATGTAGAGCAGATAAAGCAGAAGGTTTGGATTGTACAGAAACATTTGAATGAACAGTGAGTGAGTCACAGCTTTTGAAGTTTCTTTTTTTTTTTAGGCTTATTTTTGAGGCACCTTTTTAAAGTGCATGTTTCTGTTTATATCTTTTCCATTTTTACCCTGAAACAAGCTTCACACATTTTACCACCTTGATATAGATGTCGGAAAAAATCTAAAAATCATGGCAAAGGTTTCAAATTAAATCGAATCTGAAGGTTAGATTTTTCATTTCTATATTCTTCCAGTTTTTTTATTATCCTGTTGATTTTTTCTTGCAGAAGTGTTTTCTTATACTTTAATTTCTCACACATTTAAACACATAGATTTAATCATGACTGGAGGTTTCCAATTTTTTTCTGTTTTCTATTTTGTTTGCAAAGATGTCAGAGTTGGAAGAAAAACGGCACATTTTTCTATGGATCTGCACTAAAAATGGGCTTTATTTCGAATGTACTGTACATAAAGAACGATACTGAGGAGGTTCTGTCCTAAAGCTGTCTCCTTTCATCTTCCACAAAATGACGGATCGGGGGACGTTTCACTTCCTGTTTCTGTGCACTTTCTTGCAGGTCAATCATAAGAGACGAGGCTACGGGGGACGGATGTTGAAGGACAAAGAAAAAAAACTTGAATCGTTTATTTTTCTTAAAGCGTATAAGTGGGAAGAGGTGGCTGCTTTGTATGCAGGTCTACAGGCCCCCATGATGGTCATTTAAATGTTCGTCCTCAGCTTCTTGTCTGATTTCTTGTCACGGCTGTGTTTCTTAAAAATGTTGCATCCAGGCTTCACAAACTATAACGGCTTGGAAAAAATAAAAAAACAGTAATTCACTTACCTTGAACTTCTCCACAAACACGTTTTTTGGGGATTTTTATGCAATGATCTAAAAAAGGATTTAATTTTAAAAGTGAAAGAAAAAAAGTTTTTAACAATTTTAAAGACAACAAACGCAGTAATTAAAATAGAAAATTCTGGGAATTGGATGAATTTAGGTGTGAAATTGTGCCGATAACACTTTCTGCATTTTTATGGTCTCATGTTAGTCTTGGTTGGGATGTTAAAGCTCTAATTTACGCCAATGACTTCAGAAGATATGCTCAACTTTGTTTTGGTCTATCACAAAAAGTCCCTAAAACAAAATTTACATTCTGCGGTGTCATGTGAAGAGGTTCAAGGGAAGAGAACCCTTTAGCAAGGCACTGTGCAGCCGTATCTTTGTGCTAATCTCATGTGAGAATGTCTGGAAGTTCCGGTTCCCTGAAAAGATCTTAAAGAATGAATAAATAAAGCTTGTCTAAGTGAACATTACTGCTGATGTTTTATTGAAAGAGGCATGAAGTGACAGTTTGAGCTGTGGGGGGGAGAGATAAAGTTTTACACTTTATTTTGCTGGGTGTTTTTTTTTTCAGTCATTTACATAGAAGCAGCTTATTTTCATATAGAAACAGTTTGACATCATCTACGTCACCTTTCCTCAGAACCTGTTGAAACCTCCCATACAAAAAGGGAAACATTGGTCTCATTCATACGAAAATATAATTTAAAAGCACTTGACGACAGACACTTGTTACATTACATTCACTGTACATGGTATACTCCCACCCACCCCATGTCCTCTCCTGCACACAGCTGCCGCTCCTCCTCACCCTCCTGTGCTCGCTCGCCCAGCAGTACTTCTGTTTCTCCATATAGGTGGGCGCTGCAACATGTTGCTTGACCATAAAAAAAACAAGAAAATCTGCAATAGGAGGAGTGGAGTGCATGTTGGAGGGAAGAGAAGCGGCTCAAAGTCTTGAGCTTTCAGTGGAATAAAAAGTCTTATGAGAGGAATGCGTGACTCAAAACCCCGGGAACTGAAGATCAAATCCCGGCCTTTAGAGACAACTGGACAATCCGATCCGTAAGGAGTCGATCCGGCAGCAGAAACATGAAACACACACGTACTGTAATACTCTATGCTGATGAAGATACTGCTGAAAAACACGAGCGCCATAACCAACTGGAATGCTGCTCACTAAAACACGCACAGACAACAGGTTGGAGATGATAATCTCTTAAATACAAATGCATCCTCCTCTTCTGAAAGCATGCACCAAGACATTCATCCATGCACGCTTTGGAGGCGCCAGGAAGGAGAAGAGCGTCTCCCAACGTTCGCGGACCTCCAGCGTAAAAAAAACAAAAAAAAAACATCACAACCCCCCCCCCCCTCATCAGGCACATGGTATGGTCAATGTTTGGCAGTGGAGAGCTGTTGGCAACCATCATGGAAACAACATGAAGAAAAAAAATAAGTTGGCAACTGGAATACATTAGGATGCTGGGCCTGCTCTGGAGGCCGAGCGAGTGGAGCACAGCTCTGGCACTATGAACGATGGCTCTACCTGCTGATCGGAGCCGTCACGGTCTCTTCCTGATCAGAATGTGAAAGAACGGAAGAAAAAAAATAAAAAATGAAGTACTGGCTCATAATCTTCATATCAGCCAGCTGTTTCACAACAAAAATAAATGTCAGAGAATCCAGCATAAACCAACTAATAAAACGAGTCAAAAGCCTTCGAAATGAATCCAGATTCTCCTGCAGCAGCATCGCCTCAAACGCAAAAGTTTAGCAAAATACATCTTTTAACTGGATTAAACTGGACTCAGATCAGGGTACCTATTATTGGCACTGCTAGCATAGGGATGAAGAACATTTGCTCAGTTCTTCATCTTCCTCCGGTGTAAACGTGACGAGCATCTTAGCTGATCTGCTGAAAGAACAAAGCACTTCCTTTAACGGGTGAACTTGCTGGACTAGCCGTCTGCATTCCAACTGTTCGGTTTTTCCTTTTTTCACCATCGCTTCACACTGGGGCGTCTGTTACTATGAACTTTGGTTAAAAAAAATTGAATTTAACAATAAGAGATTCTGCTGCTGCTAAAAAGCTTTTGCTATCCTAACCAGGGCTGTCAGCCAATCAGAAAGAAAGAAAACCCCTCCATCTAAAACACTGGTAAAAATAGATCTATCAAATAAAGCTTGAAAATAAAGTAACTATTTATGAATATGCTCATGAATACTTTTATATTTCTTTATGTACATAATTGTTTATATAATCAATATATCTGTTCTCACTATTATCTCGACTCCTGCTCTTAAACTCCCCCAATCTGAGCCGGGAGTCGACTCCTTCCTGCTCGGAGACGAGCGGGAAGAGGGAGGGGGGAAAAAAAGGCAGGAGTCGCTTTCCTATATCACCCCTTTTGTTTTTTTCAAAAGTTCTCCACTTTTTCCCGCATCCTTTGTTTTTTTGTCTTTTCTTTCTGTTGTTTTTTACAGTTAGCACCTTATGCAAGTAAAACAGTTGAAAAATAATAATAATAATAATAAAATGATAGCATATACGAATGTGCAAATGTACGTCAATGAAAAAATACTACAAAGATACATTTTTGTTTTTCAAAGAAAAAAATACAAGTGATAATATGTGGATAGGATAAAAGAGTAATGCAAAAAAAAAAAGAAAAGTGACAAAACATAGAAAAAAAAATTTAAAGCATGCACTTGATCCTTTAGTGTTTGGGATGTAAGGAGGGTCGGGGACAGGGCTCATGTTTTGGGGGTAGCAGACTGGTTGGAGCCCGCAGCTTCTAGCCTTGAATCTTGCGGAGGATCTCTGTGGAGACGGGCGGGTGGAAATTGATGGTGTGGTGCCGCAGACCCTGCGACGTTTTGTAGCTCTTCCCGCAGCGACACTTGAAGGGTTTCCTCACACGGATCTGTGTGCGGTGGCCGTTCTTGGCGTGGTATTTGATGCCGTTCACGTTCTGGTGGAATATAAGAGGAGGCAGGAAAGGAGTTGTTTTATTATCGATATAAAGCTAAATCTAATGGAAATACTTAGAAATATATAACTAAAGAGCATGTGGATACATTAATAAAAACAAAAATAAATTACCATATTTTCCATAATATAAGGGCCACCTAAAAGCCTTCAATATTCTCAAAAACCTACAGTGTGTACAGTTATAATCTGGTGCGCCCTATGTTTGGATCAAGATTAAGCTTCAAAAGGTCACGCAACTATGGGGAGCAACCGCCGACTCCATTTTCTCCAGTTGAAGAAGTAGCGCAAGGTGCATACTGGGAAGTATCATTTCCATTTGTGTGTGTTAAGACCCCATAATGGCTCCTTTCAAGAGACACGCGTACGACGCTGAGTTTCAACCCAATGTTAGCAGTTATGCAGTTAAACATGGGAATAGAGCAGCAGCTCGTGAATGAAACATTAATGAATCAATGTTGTGGAAGTGGAGGAAGCAAGAAGATGATCTACGCCAAGTAAAGAAGACTAAACAGGTTTCCGAGGTAACAAAGACAGATGGATAGAGCAGTGGATGAAGGAAGGAGACCACAGGTTCATTAAGATGGGGAGACGGCGCCGAACGACATACGCCACCATCTGCCAGCGGGTAGTAAATGCCTGGGCTGATATATCAGTCTCAACTGTGGTCTGAGGTTTCAGGAAGGCAGGAATTGTCACTGAACTGTCAGACAACAGGAACGACATTGAAACAAATAATAAAGACATTGATGAGATGGAGTCGGCCATGTTGGATCCCATGTTAAACCAACTGTTCAGTTCAGACACTGAAGAAGAAGAATTCCAGGGATTTGATGATGAGAAAGGAACTAATAAATTTATATTTCAAGTTTCTTTTGTTTGTTAACAGCTGAAGAAGGTTGGTCATATTGTAAATAATATATTAATAAAGTTTGGATTATTTTTTTGACATTCTCTTTAGCGCAGCTGCATTTAGTGGGTGCGTAACGTTACCCCAGCCACTACTGTAGCTTCTATTCTATGCGCTATAGTGCTGCACGCCTTATATATGAAAAAAATGTTAAAATAAACAATTCATGTGCGCCTTATAGTATGGAAAATACTGTTTTTAATAACACAGAAAATTCAAGTGGGGATATTTTTAAAGCAAAAAAAAACAAAAGTGGCTGCGACGTTCAGGAATCTCTTCTAATAGATATTTGTAGAGTGATGTGCATTTGCATTTACCCCATTCATCTAAAAAAAAGTACATCACATTAAGTCTACCATCTCCACGGAAGTGGCGTCGTCATGCTGTGGGTATGACCTCGTTAGGCACTACTAGTTTGTACAGATTTCAGAAATGCTTTGCATTAAGCTCCCAGTCGTTTCACTCATCAACTCTTCTAAGGTTTGCAGATTAGAGGCGTCGCTTCCTGCAAGTTAATTGGAGCAAATTTCTCCCAGCTTCACAATTGCTGGTTTGCTTCCAGGATTTATAAATCCACCTTCCATAAACTTGTTAGCTCCCCTGCTGCTGAGTAAGATCACGATCCTGCCTCCATGTTTCACAGAGGACAACATGCAGTTTACTATTTCTCCACACAGCAGGATAAAAAATGTCTGGATTTTATTTAGAGGTATCAATGCAAATCCATGCTAAAATGTTTTAGGTTTAAACTAGATAATTACATCCTTTCCCAGCTGCAGTCTGAGGAAGCTTAACTGCCTGTTAATTATTATTGAGCAAAAAGTATTTGATTAAGACAATAAAACCTAAACCTTTCAGTTTAACAGCATTTATTAGCACAGGAGGACCGTTTGTTCCACTAAAAGGTCCACAAAGAGAAATATCACACACTGTCTATTCATTTAGAAGCTGGGACAGCGAGCTGAATGAGGTTCTTGTTACAAGCTGCATTAAACATCAGCCAAAGCAAATGCATCATGATATATTTATCACTGCTTCCAGGGCTTTCTGAAGTTCCAGATCCTTCCAAGCAATCGGTCCAGACATGTGATACGCACACAAAAGCTGCACTGTAGATTGAATCGCAGCAGAACACCTCACAGAGCACGGCTGAGGAGGCCTGCTCATTAATCCAGCCTTACCTTGTATCTCTTCTTACATCCCGGGACGGGGCAGGCAAACGGCTTCTCCTCTCCGCCGTTCATGCACATGGAGCTCAGGATGGACTCGGAGCTGATGGCGCTTTCTGTGGTCCACGACTCGTCGCTGTCTGACTCCTCGTAGTCTACCTCCTCCTCGTCATACTCGCTGCCTGGAGCCACCGGGAGCGAGAAAAGCATTACAGATTATGGATGGGAAACGTAGCCCATAAAAAATTGATAATGCGAGTGGATTTTGCCACAGTTTTCATATGTTTAACCTAAACTGTTGCAGCTCTGCTCATAAGTTTAGAGATTTTCCCCTGCTGGGAGGTAAATCTCTGCTTTAAAAAAAAAAAAACAGACTGAAGGAAGACTGGAACGTGAGCCACTGCTGTCTCTTATTTCAAGTGCATAATATTGAATTATGATATTTTAAGAGCAAAAATACCAATTCCATTGGAAAATAATCTAATTTACCTGCTCAGATTAACGATAAACAACTATTTTAAGAAATATTTTTCAGTATTTATAGATCATGTCTGAATTGTGGTCTGCATCTGAGACCAAAACATGGTAATAAATTAAGAAAAAAAAAAAAGCATATTAATGAGTTAGAATGGTCTAGTCCAAGTCCAGGCTCAGATCCAGTTGGGCATTTCTAGTAAGGTGTGAAAACTCATGTTTTGGTAAAAAGCAGCGAGCACCAATTTCACTCTCCTGTCCTCAAAACAAGAGCTGATTTAGGAGAAGCTGCAAAATAAAAATGCCACACTTTTCAGATTTTTTATTCTTACAACATACAATGGTTGAGTAAAAATAAAACAAATGCATCTGAATGCTTGTGGTTACTTTATAGGAACGCCGTTTGGTGTTTTCTAAAGTTACTTTTCCTCAAGTTGGAAAACCAAATATGGCGTCTGGGTGTGAGAGCTTGTTAGTCAAACGCCCCAGAAAAAGGGATCATTAAGTGGGAGGGATACCCACTGCTCTGCTTGGTGGTGGGAAAGGGGGGGGGGGGGGGGGGGGGGGGGGGGTGCTTTTCTTGATGCACGACATTCCATTCACACTCTCTCACACACACACACACACACATCCAGATGCATCCAAATACCTGAACGGTTCAGAAACACAAACATCCAGAGCCAGTGACCCCCCGCCATGCAACAGGAAATGCTGCGCCGCGACCTGAGGAAGTGGATGGCACCTTGGCACATGTTGAAAGAGGCTGTGGGTTTGTGTGCGCTTCTGGACCGGCTCGGGCTGGAATTAGACATCTGCTCCTAGGCTGTGCGGCGCTCAGCCCCATGCGAACGCAGAGCGGGGCAGCTGCTGTGTAATTAGCGAAGTGTTGACTGGTTTGCTCGCTGCAGGAGCTGCTAAAGCTACAAACACACACTGCAGCGGATGACGACAGATTTTCCCTTCGGTTGAAGATGGATACTAAACAGAACCCTGTGCTGGTACTTCACTCCATCCAATCATTTGTTTACGCTGCGTTGTAAAAATATCAACTCTGTGCTTTCTGAATGTAATCCAATTATTGCCGTTATCAGATGTGTGTTACGCCCCGAGGGGCCAGTTTGCAGGAATCCCTGTCAGTACGACACTTAACTTCCCAATGTCATTTACAAGCAACTGGTTTGTCGTTTCTCTCCAGAGAACGCTCCCCTACCTGTAGGTGTGCTGCTGCGGAACGAGGAGGACGGGGTGATGGGGGGCGTGACGGGAGGCGTCAGGTTGCCGCTGGTGTGGCGTGGCGGCGTGGCCGTGCTGTTCCTGGAAATGCCGCCGGTGATTGACAGGGACAGCTTGGGCGTGGCCTTCTTCTTCAGGGTTTCCTGCTCGCGGCGTGCTGCGTCCGTCATGAACCTGGGGACACGCAAGGAGAGCCGCTGGTTATAAAACACCTGAAAATCAATGAATCCTAAAAAAAAAAAAAAGTACAACCTCTAAATTACCAAACTACTGCAGGAGGCCACAAATATATTTAGAATCAAACACTATGATGAATTTCATTAGGGTTTCACATCATAGATCAACACCACATAGAGTGAATCAGCAGGAAAGACCTCCATCCTAGATAAAAACATTTACATTCAGCTCAGCTGTAACTATTTGTATTGCCAATAAAGGGTCTAAATAAAAAGCTAAGTCAACTTTCGGAGCTTTTAACTATACTGTAATGCTGTTCCTTCATCAAAATTATGCCTAGAGGTATTCTGCCTGATTCATGCATGCCTGAGTAATCCCCATTAATTCTGTTCTGTGAGCAGCAGCCCCTCCCTGTCCTGGAAGAACGAGAGGCTCCAACAGGTCTAGTACAACAGAGTTAATTAGAAATACACAGATCTTTAAGATATCAAAACTGAGAGGAACGGCGGGTTCCGATCCAATACTAGTGTTTAATGAATGAATCTTGAACATGGCCATATGTGTGACTTGATCTAAAGGTCACTACAGAAACGGTAACAAATGAACCCATATATAAATTTCCACTAGCTGCTATGGCCTCTGAATTATAACGTAACTGTAGCTTATTTCTAAGACCTGAAAATAGTTCTTAGTCTTTTTTTAGGCTGCCTAAAGAAGAGTCGACTTGCCAGAGGTGGTATGATACACCGATGTCATAGAAATGGAGGCAAGGAAGCAAATTTATAAAAGAAAAATACTAATAAGGCAACATTTCATCATTATATATATATATATATATATATATATATATATATATATATATATATATATATATATATATATATATATATATATATATATATATATATACAGGTGCTGGTCATAAAATTAGAATATCATGAAAAAGTAGATTGATTTCAGTAATTCCATTTAAAAAGTGAAACTTGTATATTATATTCATACATTACATACAAACTCATATATTTCAGATGTTTATTTTGTTTAATTTTGATGATTACAAATGACAACAAATGAAAATCTCAAATTCATCATATCAGAAAATTAGAATATTGTGAAAAGGTTCAAAATTGATGGCCCCTGGTGCCACACTCTAATCAGCTAATTAACTCAAACCACCTGCAAAAGCCTTTAAATGGTCTTTCAGTCTAGTTCTATAGGCTACACAATCATGGGGAAGACTGCTGACTTGACAGTTGTCCAAAAGACGACCATCGACACCTTGCACAAGGAGGGCAAGACACAAAAGGTCATCGCTAAAGAGGCTGGCTGTTCACAGAGCTCAGTGTCCAAGCACATTAATAGAGAGGCGAAGGGAAGGAAAAGATGTGGTCGAAAAAAGTGTACAAGCAAGAGAGATAACCGCACCCTGGAGAGGATTGTGAAACAAAACCCATTCAAAAATGTGGGGGAGATTCACAAAGAGTGGACTGCAGCTGGAGTGAGTGCTTCAAGAACCACCACACACAGACGTATGAAAGACATGGGTTTCTGCTGTCGCATTCCTTGTGTCAAGCCACTCTTGAACCACAGACAGCGTCAGAAGCGTCTAAAGAGAAACAGGACTGGACTGCTGGTGAGTGGTCCAAAGTCATGTTCTCTGATGAAAGTAAATTTTGCATTTCCTTTGGAAATCAAGGTCCCAGAGTCTGGAGGAAAAGAAGAGAGGCACTTCATCCACGTTGCTTGAAGTCCAGTGTAAAGTTTCCACAGTCAGTGATGGTTTGGGGTGCCATGTCATCTGCTGGTGTTGGTCCATTGTGTTTTCTGAGGTCCAGGGTCAACGCAGCCACATACCAGGAAGTTTTAGAGCCCTTCATGCTTCCTGCAGCTGACCAACTTTTTGGAGATGCAGATTTCATTTTCCAACAGGACTTGGCACCTGCACACAGTGCCAAAGCTACCAGTACCTGGTTGAAGGACCATGGTATCCCTGTTCTTAATTGGCCAGCAAACTCTCCTGACCTTAACCCCATAGAAAATCTATGGGGTATTGTGAAGAAGAAGATGCAATACACCAGACCCAACAATTCAGAAGAGCTAAAAGCCACTATTAGAGCAACCTGGGCTATCATAACACCTGAGCAGTGCCACAGACTGATCGACTCCATGCCACGCCGCATTGCTGCAGTAATACAGGCCAAAGGAGGCCCAACTAAATACTGAGTGCTGTACATGCTCATACTTTTCATGTTCATACTTTTCAGTTGGCCAACATTTCTATAAATCCTTTGTTTTTATTGGTCTTCAGTAATATTCTAATTTTCTGATATGATGAATTTGAGATTTTCATTTGTTGTCATTTGTAATCATCAAAATTAAACAAAATAAACATCTGAAATATATGAGTTTGTATGTAATGTATGAATATAATATACAAGTTTCACTTTTTAAATGGAATTACTGAAATCAATCTACTTTTTCATGATATTCTAATTTTATGACCAGCACCTGTATATATTAAAGGTAAAGTGGAGGATTTTCACAAATTTTTTAAAAGACTCGCCCTCTCCATATGCGAGAGCGTGCCCAAGCCCACTCTGTTAAAAAGTTGCCGTTCTCTTAGCTCATACAAGCTTACTGTGTGCAAAGGTCCGCCCTAACGCCTAAATCCCTCAATCACTATATAGAGCGGGGACTATATAGTGGACTTGATAGCAAACTCAGTTAAATGACCGTTCAGACAGATGATCACTACTTTTTGCTCCGTTGGTCATGTAACTCCTCCTCCACTGCGGGTGCCTGCGCCATCTTAGCCACAGCCTATGGTGACTATGACAGCAAATATCTGCCTCTTCTGAGGCCTTTCTTTTCTCCCCATACACTTCGTAGACACTTTTTCCCTTACGACCCTCGGCCATTTTCAAAGAACCGTGGTGAGAAAGGTGAGCTTCAATGACTGTCTGAAACCGTAGCTCACCACACATATACCCCTGAAAGTGTGCATGCACAGATAGCTAACTGGGAACAAGGACGTAGGACAGCCTCACGTAAACAAATCACCAGAATGATTGACAACTAGGAGGACCACTTATTTAGATGATCCACCCGAAAATAAATGACCGTCCTCTATATCTTTAAAGGAGTCATAACCTGGTATTTTGCAGGTACAGTCCATTTGAAACCGACTTTAAACTCACGTTAATCATTTTAGGAGAAAAAAAATGTAACAGAGTTCATTTTTACTCTTTTCGTGTCTGATTTCTTTTTTTCTTGCGAGGGTTTGCACCAGAATTTTACAGCTTTGATGGTGTCACCGCTTTAGGTGGAAAAGAGAGGGAAGCTGCACTCTCTGTGGAGCTTTTGAAGCCACCCAGCAGGTTTTTAATTGAAGCCCAACACTAAGATGCATGCTTAAAGTCAGATTTCCAGGTGATGACTTTAATTCATTTTGGGGTTTGCCTATCCCACTTTCCTCTTTACAACATAGCTCACAATTCCCTTCTGTTAATTTTTTTTTTTTTACATCCTGTCACAGTTTTAATTGGATTTAGCTCTGGACTTTGACTAGTCCATTCTAGAGCATAAATCTGCTCTGATCTGTGCTTCATGTTTAGGGTTGCTTTCCTGCTGGAAGATTTTCAGGATCTCTTCCAAGACTGCCAACTATTTAACTCTATAAACCTTCCCATCAGATTTGGCCATCCTCTCTAGTCCAAATAAAGAAAAGCATCCCCACAGCATGACATAACTGTAAAAATTGTGTGTTTAAGGTGCTAAGAAATAGTAATTTGAACTTTTTTTTAAAGGCATCAAAATAATCTAATTTGGACCTCCTTTCAATTTATAACTATACTCTAACATATCTTGGTTAGAAATCTCGACAAAACACCTTGACTTACTTTTGTGACCTGTGTAAAAAAATAAAACAAACACAGATCCATGACCTCATTATCTTTTATCCAAAAGGCTGCAGCAGTTTCACAACGGGTAAGATGTCAGCCAGGTTAATGTACTGCTGCACCGATACATTTGGGTGTGTTGAAGACAGGAATAACACCAGTTCAAGTAAATCAATGATGAATTATGGTATGAGTTTATCATTATGTTGTAAAACTGATGTTATCTGTTCCTGATCATCTCTTAAAGACACTAAAGATATGCTTACCCTCAGCTGGAGGCGATGGGTTTTAAGTTGAGGCGTTGTGCAATTTCTGACAGATCAAAGCTTTTATTTTGTAGGTTTTCTAAAAAGGTTTATATTTACCTTTTCACTTAAGAGGGGGACAAAAAAACCTCAAATTAAAGGAAACAATAATATTTTAACCGAAATACTAAACCACCACACCTATAACGGTTCCCACAGAACTATATTCTTTAGGTTGATCCAGGTGTCAGTGGGTTTTTATTTTGACATGTCATGAGGTGTGCTCTGGTCAAATCAAACTCTCCAAAATATATTTTAGTAAAAAAAAAAACTCAAGGTGTAGAGGATAAACACAAAAAGGATAAACATGTGGAAAAAGCACATCATCCCTTCTGCTAAGCAGATTGGAGGCTCTATAATGCTGTGGATTTGTTTGTCTTTAGAAGCCAGTTCAGATATTTGAAATCTTAATATCGGGACATTTTTATCAGGTAAAGATCAGTTGATTGTAACAGGGTTTATACAGGAATGAGCAACTCTAATTTAATGCTTTTTAATGCTCTTTTAATGCTCTTAAAAATTATTTTAATGCAACAAGTACCCATGACTCTCATATATACACAGCAAATCCTTCTCCATCTTTACTGTCGGCAAGCTGCAATTCCTCGATTTTCAGCCACTTTTGTTGAAATTAGCATTTTCCCCATTCTACAGCTTTTTCTCCGACTTGAGCTTCTTTTCCAAACATACGGCTTGACCATCAGCCGGAAGCAGTTCCGCGCAAATATATTGGGATATATTTGCATATTTGCAAATAGTGTTGCACCGATACCAGTATCGGACGGCGCCCCGATACTGCCCTAAAATGGTGGTATCGGTATCAGCGAGTACCAACAAATAGGGCACTGATACCATTTTGAGAGCCATAAGTTTATTCAACTATTGTCACCCATTCCAGGTAGGCAATAAAAAGTTCTACTGGATTCACTTTGTATTAGATATTTTCGTGCTTCACAAAGGTAGGCAGCAGCTTGACAAAGCCATGATGGCAATTGTTTTACATTATTATGGTATCGGTATCGGCCGATACTGCACAGCCAGGTATCGGGTATCGGTATCGGGGCCAAAAAATGGCATCGGCGCAACACTATTTGCAAATATATATCATTTAAGAAATTGTTTTTATAAACATTTTTTTAATTTAAATAAAGCATTTTGAATGCAGAAATAATCACATTTAATGAATTTTAATGCCAATTAGGGCCTTACTTAAAAAAAATAATTATTTAATGACTTTTAATGATTTTTAATGACCCGCGGAAACCCTGTGTAATGATAACTGAACAATCTGGAGACAATAAGTACGGTCTGATAAAAAAATATATAAATTTTTATAGAATATTTTGGCTTTGTTTATATTTCAAACTTTTAATGTCGCATTTTTGTATTTTCTCCAATTGCAATAGGATTAAATTAAAACTGAATTGAAAAAAAATAAATAGTCCATCAATTTTCTGTTTATGAAGATTTAATATTTTGGAAAACATTTTTTTTTTCCCCCATCGATGCACTTCTTTGGGGCCCCCTAGCCGAGTGAGAGCAGTTCATCACTTTTGTTCTTAGATGAATGATCATAACAAATAAACCAGCAGACCGTGTAAAACTACTAACAGCAAACATTTAGTTTTTAAATTTCCATCACTTGTTGAAAGAAATTGCTTTACAAGAATATTCAAAGCTTAAATGTGGTTTCCCTTTAAATTAAGCCAGAGGAGATGATTGAACTAAAAGCTTGGTTGTCACAGTAAAGTATGTTATTTGTCATTTTAGTATGAAACCTAAGTGAAGCAAAAATAGATTCATCTGAATTGGTACCAAAAAAAAAGATTTTTCAGCTAATAAATATATATATATATATATATATATATATATATATATATATATATATATATATATATATATATATATATATATATATATATATATATTACACAATACAACCTTATCCTATAAAAAAAGGCATTAAAAACCATAAATAATAAAACGTTTACATATACAAATATGTTTTTCTTTTTAACTATGATGAAAAATGTGCCCTGTTGCCTGCTTTTTGAGTGCTTTATTGGCAATAAGCATGGGTAGAGCATCAGCCTCCATTAGTAGAGTTTAAAGCATGTAGTTCTTTATCAAAAGTCTGAAATGTTTAATACATTCTGAAGGCCAACATTATTAACCCTGAGCCCTGATTTTTTACTTGGTTTAGCCTTTCTGTTATCTGCTGAATGTCATACTCTCTCTTTTGTCAGGTCTAATACAGGTGCTGGTCATAAAATTAGAATATCATGAAAAAGTGGATTGATTTCAGTAATTCCATTTAAAAAGTGAAACTTGTATATTATATTCATACATTACATACAAACTCATATATTTCAGATGTTTATTTTGTTTAATTTTGATGATTACAAATGACAACAAATGAAAATCTCAAATTCATCATATCAGAAAATTAGAATATTGTGAAAAGGTTCAAAATTGATGGCCCCTGGTGCCACACTCTAAACAGCTAATTAACTCAAACCACCTGCAAAAGCCTTTAAATGGTCTTTCAGTCTAGTTCTATAGGCTACACAATCATGGGGATGACTGCTGACTTGACAGTTGTCCAAAAGACGACCATCGACACCTTGCACAAGGAGGGCAAGACACAAAAGGTCATCGCTAAAGAGGCTGGCTGTTCACAGAGCTCAGTGTCCAAGCACATTAATAGAGAGGCGAAGGGAAGGAAAAGATGTGGTCGAAAAAAGTGTACAAGCAAGAGAGATAACCGCACCCTGGAGAGGATTGTGAAACAAAACCCATTCAAAAATGTGGGGGAGATTCACAAAGAGTGGACTGCAGCTGGAGTGTGTGCTTCAAGAACCACCACACACAGACGTATGAAAGACATGGGTTTCTGCTGTCGCATTCCTTGTGTCAAGCCACTCTTGAACCACAGACAGCGTCAGAAGCGTCTTGCCTGGGCTAAAGAGAAACAGGACTGGACTGCTGGTGAGTGGTCCAAAGTCATGTTCTCTGATGAAAGTAAATTTTGCATTTCCTTTGGAAATCAAGGTCCCAGAGTCTGGAGGAAAAGAAGAGAGGCACTTCATCCACGTTGCTTGAAGTCCAGTGTAAAGTTTCCACAGTCAGTGATGGTTTGGGGTGCCATGTCATCTGCTGGTGTTGGTCCATTGTGTTTTCTGAGGTCCAGGGTCAACGCAGCCACATACCAGGAAGTTTTAGAGCACTTCATGCTTCCTGCAGCTGACCAACTTTTTGGAGATGCAGATTTCATTTTCCAACAGGACTTGGCACCTGCACACAGTGCCAAAGCTACCAGTACCTGGTTGAAGGACCATGGTATCCCTGTTCTTAATTGGCCAGCAAACTCTCCTGGCCTTAACCCCATAGAAAATCTATGGGGTATTGTGAAGAACAAGATGCAATACACCAGACCCAACAATTCAGAAGAGCTAAAAGCCACTATTAGAGCAACCTGGGCTATCATAACACCTGAGCAGTGCCACAGACTGATCGACTCCATGCCACGCCGCATTGCTGCAGTAATACAGGCCAAAGGAGGCCCAACTAAATACTGAGTGCTGTACATGCTCATACTTTTCATGTTCATACTTTTCAGTTGGCCAACATTTCTATAAATCCTTTGTTTTTATTGGTCTTCAGTAATATTCTAATTTTCTGATATGATGGCCAACTGAAAAGTATGAACATGAAAAGTATGAGCATGTACAGCACTCAGTATTTAGTTGGGCCTCCTTTGGCCTGTATTACTGCAGCAATGCGGCGTGGCATGGAGTCGATCAGTCTGTGGCACTGCTCAGGTGTTATGATAGCCCAGGTTGCTCTAATAGTGGCTTTTAGCTCTTCTGAATTGTTGGGTCTGGTGTATTGCATCTTCTTCTTCACAATACCCCATAGATTTTCTATGGGGTTAAGGTCAGGAGAGTTTGCTGGCCAATTAAGAACAGGGATACCATGGTCCTTCAACCAGGTACTGGTAGCTTTGGCACTGTGTGCAGGTGCCAAGTCCTGTTGGAAAATGAAATCTGCATCTCCAAAAAGTTGGTCAGCTGCAGGAAGCATGAAGTGCTCTAAAACTTCCTGGTATGTGGCTGCGTTGACCCTGGACCTCAGAAAACACAATGGACCAACACCAGCAGATGACATGGCACCCCAAACCATCACTGACTGTGGAAACTTTACACTGGACTTCAAGCAACGTGGATGAAGTGCCTCTCTTCTTTTCCTCCAGACTCTGGGACCTTGATTTCCAAAGGAAATGCAAAATTTACTTTCATCAGAGAACATGACTTTGGACCACTCACCAGCAGTCCAGTCCTGTTTCTCTTTAGCCCAGGCAAGACGCTTCTGACGCTGTCTGTGGTTCAAGAGTGGCTTGACACAAGGAATGCGACAGCAGAAACCCATGTCTTTCATACGTCTGTGTGTGGTGGTTCTTGAAGCACTCACTCCAGCTGCCGTCCACTCTTTGTGAATCTCCCCCACATTTTTGAATGGGTTTTGTTTCACAATCCTCTCCAGGGTGCGGTTATCTCTCTTGCTTGTACACTTTTTTCGACCACATCTTTTCCTTCCCTTCGCCTCTCTATTAATGTGCTTGGACACTGAGCTCTGTGAACAGCCAGCCTCTTTAGCGATGACCTTTTGTGTCTTGCCCTCCTTGTGCAAGGTGTCGATGGTCGTCTTTTGGACAACTGTCAAGTCAGCAGTCTTCCCCATGATTGTGTAGCCTATAGAACTAGACTGAAAGACCATTTAAAGGCTTTTGCAGGTGGTTTGAGTTAATTAGCTGATTAGAGTGTGGCACCAGGGGCCATCAATTTTGAACCTTTTCACAATATTCTAATTTTCTGATATGATGAATTTGAGATTTTCATTTGTTGTCATTTGTAATCATCAAAATTAAACAAAATAAACATCTGAAATATATGAGTTTGTATGTAATGTATGAATATAATATACAAGTTTCACTTTTTAAATGGAATTACTGAAATCAATCTACTTTTTCATGATATTCTAATTTTATGACCAGCACCTGTACATTTTCAGATTTCTGTAAAAAAAAAATGTAATTAAATATCTGAGTGGTTTATAAAATCTCTCTCTCCTAATAAAAAATATGTTAATCTGAAATGAGTCCCACCAAATGTTGGCTTATAACGAATTGCTTCATATTCCTTTTGTTTAATTTAATTATTTTAATCCATTACAGCTGCACAAGCTCAGACGCCTTCATCCCCTCTCCCTTTTTTTCTTAGACAACCACACGTTTCTCGATAAAACACCACCCAGCCACTTAATAAACCTCCCTGACACCACGGACAATAAATAAAGATGACATTTACGACCTCACCGCCAGAGCAATCATCCCTAAAAACAAACTTATCACAACCTGCTTCAGAGTTGCTTCTTGTAGTAATTTGATGGGGCATTAAGTGAGATGCGACACTGGTTTACCGCAAAGCGAAAAACACACAAATGCTCGGCACAACTGGCCGATATGCTGCCTCTGGCAGCTCAGAGAGCCAAGGGTGATTATCATGTGTGGTTTTTCTGCACCGTTTATTTTTTTTTTCTTGTGGGTGAGTCATAGCTATGGGAAGACATAACTCATCTGAAATCCTAAAGTCACTTGAGCTAGCGCATGAATGCAGATTTATAGGAGTGGAGCAATGCTGCCCTCTTTAGCTGCACACTTCTCCACCTTTTGGTGACTTTGCATACCTGTTGATGTAGCTTAGGGCGAGGTATGTGGGCTGCTGTTGCTCCTGCTTCTCCAGAACCCTCGGATCCGTGTCTGAGGGAGAAACAGACAGATGGGGTTAATCACTTCTTTTGCTTATGGAGGGAGAGCGTAGCTGTTTCATATATAATGATTCTCCATACAAGACATGCCTTGTAGCTCTTTTCCACATACTTTCACGAAAAGTGAATGAAAACTCAAATGAAGCCAAATCAGATCGAAAAGCAAGGCCTTTCCAACCCTGCAGCACTCTGTCTGCCAAGATATGACAAAGAGGAAAGACAAAGCAACCGGTTGGAGTCAGTGATGAATGTGCGGTGTGTTAGTCAACAGGCGTGCTCAGGCATTTTTTCTAACTGACTTGCTAAGTCAGTAACACAACAGTAGGTAACTTCCTGTGCCTGAGGCTGGTACTGTTAACTTCAAAGTCCAGCCTCCTGATGGCTGGAAAACGGGAGCGGGCGAGCAGGAAAACACAGCAACCGTGAGCTACCAGTGCCATCAAGTGTTCAGTCTAAGAACAGTTTAAGAAGAAGCTGTATTTACATCAGTTGTCATGCTAAGGACACTACTAAATGTTTTAGAGTGAATGTTTTAGAGACCAACACTCCAAAAGGAATATTTCATGCAGGTTTTATTCCCAAACAAATGACAGTTATTTTCATTCTAATACACCTAAAATAATCTAATCATATTATTAGTAAACAAACGCTTAAGCATGGTGGTGGAAGCATCATGCAGCTGAGTAAAGAGGTAGAGATAAATACTGAGAGTGGTGCAGAGGTCCGACTTGAAGCAGCTTAATGACTAAGATTAAAGCCCATTTCTGGCGTAGAATGGTCCAGATTTGAATCAAATGGATAATCCGTACTGAGCTTTAAAATAAATCGTCAAATATGCTCTGCAGGTAATCAGACTGAATAGCAAAACATTCAGTTTTCAGCATTGTTTTTTTTAAATGCATCTTAAGGTTTTTTATTGTCATTATGGTATAACTTGCTGCCCTTTGACAAGAACACTCAATAAAAAAAGAGTTTCTCAAATCTCAGTGGGAATTTCCTGGTTAAATAAAGGTTGGATAAAATGTTGGAGGCTGTTAATTACATACCCTCAAAACCTTGCAGCTTTAATTACAGCGAAAGGTTCCGACTGATGCATGCCACACTTTTGAGATTCTTTCATTTTTTGATATAAAAAAAAATTTATATCTTCCTTCCACTTTATAAGTTTGCATTTTCTATCTTTCAATTTATTACATAAAAATCTATTCCGAGGCTACAAAATGAAAAGAGGGATGAATTCATGTGCATGGCGCCTTAAGAGCGTTTCTAGCTGCATACCTAATGGCTTGCAGATGTATCACAAGTGAAATCTGAGGACGCCTGGACGCTCCTTCAAGTTAAGCCCACTGCTCTGTGCGCTGGCCTTCACACCCATTTGGTTTTCAGGCTTTCACACCTCATAATAAAAAATAAAAAAAACAGACTTCCCACAATGCAGAAGAACACCAAGGAGGACCAGCAAACAAATAAAGTGGGCATAAAAAAAAATAAATAAATAAGACGCATGCTCCTTCTGCTGTTTACGCTGCACAACAGCAAACCACAGACTCCCTACAGCGAAGGACTTAGGCCAGGAAAGACCAAAGAATCAGCCTATAGATTTGTGAACACAAACAAGATTGCACACACATAGAAAGGAGGTGGTCCACAGAGGTGGTCTCTGAAAGTATTTTATAGCTGAACATCAATAATCTTACCCTATGAGCAGGTTAGACATGTCTGAGAGGGTCGAGTCCTGAGATGTTCCAGACAGAAAGAAAAGCTGCCAGCCACAGTTCTGTTACATCAGTCAGACCTACTTTAGAAAAACTACTCTTATTTCAAAGAGGTTTAAGTTCAATTTGCCTTGTTTCGTTTTTTTTTTACGCTCTCAATTTGCATGTCTGAAAATAAATCAGGTTTGATATAAAAGGCACTATTTATACAGTCAAATGTTGCACAAAATGATTTTTAAGGCAAAACAGGAAGGGAAAGAAACCTTCCGCTACTATCTAGCACCAAATTGAGGCCAACAAGAAAAACTAGTGGTGGGACACAATTAAACTTTGAAATGTTTTAATAATTAATTAATCTAAGTTAATTAAAGGGTATTTAAATGATCACAATGAATGGCATTTTAATTAAAACTAATTTTTTCAGCTCAACAAACTTTTTTCTACAAAATCTTTGAACAAAATATTATATAAAGACAACACATATATATTTTATTTTTAATACAGATATTTAGGTTTCTTTAACTATCAGATATGTTGGAAGTTATAACATTTTGCCATTTCTATCAGAAATGCCTGATATTTTCAGTCAGTGTTTTTTTGGTTTATAGCCGACGGACATTTAACAGCGAAACAACGCCGCCAAAACTCATGACACAATAAACAGCAAAGCCACTTTCTAGTGTACTACTAGTGTACATCGCTGGATCGTATTCTTAAAGAAAATTCAACATAACTGTTTAAATAATGGTTTGATCTTGAAATGTGCCCAAAGTACTGAGGATCCTGGAGGAGTGGGCAGAAAGTGTGATGTCTGTGTGCGAGAAGGAGGGGACAGTGTTAAACTAGTGAACCAGGTGCAGAGACGTCGAGCAGCAGTAAATGTTGACCAAATTTACAACTTCCGCTCACCTAACAGGACAGGATGTTGAAAAGCTCCTGATCCACACGCTGGAAGAGGACAATGTCTGTCACTGGCTTTAAGTTTCCAAATATCATCCTGAATCTTTTTTTTTTTTTTTTTTTTATCGCTTAACACAAAACTTTTATCTTTTTTTTTGTTTTTTTTTGGTACATTGGTATTCAATTTGTGATTGATGTAGCTGCTCTTTATTCCAAAACGTAGACCAGAGGCACACTGCTGCCCCCTGGTGAGCAGATACAGTAACAACCGCAAGGTTCTGTACTTAGAGGCCTTCACCTTCCCATGTGTTCGAACCAGGCCAAGAATGCACAGCTTGTTGAGTAGCCTGCTAATTAAGCCCCAGAGAGCCTTTTAACGCGGTTCCAGAGCAGCAGGCAACCGGACGGAGGGAGAGAGAAGGAGCTGAAGAAGACGGGGGGAGCTGGAGGTGTACTTCTCTGTAATTACACTTCCCAGAGGTTTTTTTAGGCCCCGAGACTTCCGAAGGGCTAATGTGTGGGACTGTTTTGAGCGCATGGAGGGGACCTGTGTATGGGGTGACAAGAAGGGGGTCTGCAAACTTCAGCCGGGGGGATGCCAGCCAAGTAACTGCTCCAACCTCACAGGTCATTCAGGAAGAAAAGAGAGCAGCAAACGGTTTCACAAGCACCAATGTGCACGCTTTCCTGTGTCGCACCTCAACGAGGTGGGACTGGAGACGGTCTGGCAACTGGGCCTGGACTAATTGGGTGAAATCATTATTACTCGTCGCCCCCTACAGGGAGTCCTACTTCATACAGGTTCTGTCAGGTAATACAGGAGTGGCAAACTGGAAGATTCCAGATATTTGGATGTCTTCAGACATTTTTTCGTAAACTGCAAAAATGTAATCAAATGCCCTAAACACAACAGTTCAACCAAAGGGAAAAGAAGGTAAAAACATTTCTTCTTTTGCAGTTTCATCCTAAAATTGTCAAAATCTTTGAGCTATTTTCTGTGACAACAGGAAAAATTAAGGACTACAACAATGTAATAGAATTTCTTAAAATATTTTTCCTTTTTTTTTTTACTTTATTTTGAAATAACTGACTAGAAACTGATTTAAATCACCCTGGGATTGTGAAGGCTCATTCTAAAACGGAATCTGAAATGATCTTTATCCACTTTTACTGGCTTAGTGGATAAGAATTTGTAGAAAACCCTAAAATTAAATTCTACTTATCTTTTTTTGCAACAACCTAATATCTATATCCAACTTCATTTGAGTATAGTTATGCAGTTTCAGGGGCAAAGTATCAAAAACAAGAAAAGTTGTCTTTTAACAAACCACACTGGCTCCCTAAACCTTCTATCAACTCCCCACTTCCATGAGAGCATATTTGACAAGATATAAAGGGCTATTCACCCTTCAAAATAGGTAAAACAAGAGAAAAGGCTGTTATAGCTTTGTGTTAATAGTGTCTGAAATTAGCCACTTTATTATATATGCAGAGAGCAATACCAAAAAGTCTAAAACAACAGAAAAGCACACACAAAAACAGTCTGGCTCTACTTTCTTTAGCTTTAACAGCAGTAAGACGACTACCGTGGGTCACACTGGTTGCCCAGCATGCTGCGCTAAATCTGGACAGTCTTTAGCCTTATGAAAGTAAATGCACATGGATGATGCTTTTCATATGAGGAGAACAGCCTTCAGATAAAATAAATACTCCACATAGCTCCTTAGAGCAAGTTATGAGCGTCAGGTGGTCCCTATTCTAAAGGAGAAATGACAGGAAGCATCCAGCCTCCTTTTCCTACCTCCTTCCTTACTGTGACCAATATTCAGACAACTCTTATCAGGGCTAACAATGACTCACTCACCATTTTGGCTAAAGAGTCCTCACTAGGGGTGGCTACTTATTGTATCATTTATTGTTAGAGTCATATATTTCTAGCCATTATAACAATTTTAACTTATCATCTTCAGGGTTTATACAGGAATGAGTAACTCTAATTTAATGCTTTTTAATGCTCTTAAAAAATTATTTTAATGCCATCAACAGGTACCCATGAGTCTTATATATATATATATATATATATATATATATATATATATATATATATATATATATATATATAAATAAAACACAGTAAAATCTTTTGTCATCTGCAGCCATGTCCCCAATTCCTAATTTTCCAGCCACTTTTGTTGAAATTAGCATTTTCCCTAACTCCAGCTTTATCTTCGCATTGAGCTTCTTTTCCGAACTTGCGGCTTTACGATCAACCGGAAGCAGTTCTGCGCAAACACACTGAACCAGTTATATCTGATCAAATATATCTGATGAAATTGTTTCTATAAACATTTTTTCTTATAAAGCACTTTAAATGCCA